GGTCTTTTTTTTTTTTTTTTAAACACACTTCATACTCAAGTATAAATTGTTTGACCACCTGACCAACCTGGTGTCCAGATCCTTATCAGGTAGCAGGTTTTCCACATGTTCTTCTAAAAATAAAAGAAACCAAACAAAACATTTATATAAGGGAGCTTGCATTCCTTTTTTTTTCTTCTTTCAATTTTTTATTCTTTTTTTATTTTTTTGGTTTTTTTTTTCTGGTACCGGGAACCGAACTTACGACCTCACCCTTGCCAGGCAGGCGCTGTGCCGCTGAGCTAAATCCCCAGTCCCTTAATTTTTTTTTTTTTTTTTTTTTTTTTTTTGTTTTTCTCCGGTACTGGGAACCGAACTCACGACCTTGCGCTTGCCAGGCAGGCGCTTTTGCCGCTGAGCTAAATCCCCAGCCCCAGTCCCTTAATTTTTTATTTTTATTAGTACATGTTTCTGCTACATAATGATTACATTCATTTTGGGAAGTTAGTACATGAATGTAACATGTCTTAATTTTTTTTACAACCCTTCCTCTCCCTTACCTTCCTCCTCCATCTCTTTGTATTCTTTTATAATAAAAACTGTCACTAATAAAAAACAAAAAGAACTAATATCAGTGCTCAGGTGGTGACCTAGGCTTCTCAGTGACAAAGGTGAGGTTGCTGGCCTAGAAGGGACAGGGTGGAAATGAAAACTTAACCTTCTCTAATCCAGCTCCCACTTAGCCGACTTTCTTGGATTCTCTGTCCTACACAGCCACTCTCCTGCTGAAACCTTTCCTAGGTACGCTTGGTCCCATTTACCTCTCTCCAAATTAAAGGCCAATCACTGTCTCACTGACGCTTACGCCAGCTGCAGTGATCTTGGTTTGTGCTTTCTTTGCTCATTTGTGCTGTCTGTGCCTCTCTGGGACTTTGTACCAACGATGTGCCCTGATTGAATTGTGCATTTCCTCTTCATCCTCTAGCTAGCTGCTAATCGTCATCATTCAAGTTGGTCAGTTTTAGACACTGCTGCTTCCAAAAAACCTTCCAGACTTCCACACTTAAGTCTTCCCCGGGGTCCCCATAGCACCCCATATATTCCCCACTATAGAACTTACTGATCTCTGAAGAGAACACTTTCCTGGATTTCTGGAGGTGAATACTTTCCCAGTATTCACCTCCCACTCTGAATTGGGGTTGGCCTTGTAAACTGCTTTAACCAACAAGGTTCGGGAGAGGTGGTGCCCTGTGGGTTCCAGGCTTAAGCCTTAAGAATCCTGGGAGCTTCCGCTTTTGTATTTTGGAAGCTCTGAGCCTTCATGCATACGGTTCAGCTACCCAGCTGGAGAAGCCATGTGGAGCAGAGAGGCCCTGAGATTACGAGAAGAAGGAAACAGGCCCAGCGTTTCCATGGCCCCACTTGTCTACATACAATTCCAGCTCTGACTGCCACCTCATGAGAGACCCTGAGTGAGGCCGGCAGAATTGCCCAGCTGAGCCCAGTCAATTCACAGAACTGTGAGAGATGATTGTTTTAAGCCACTCAATGTTGAAGTGGTTGTTATGCCGCAATATATAACTAAAACATCATTCTGTATTTTAATTGCCTATTGACTCTGTTTGCCCTGCTGTACTTTTTTTTTTTTGTTGTTTTGGTTTTCTTAACTTTGTGGGGGGGGTGTGCTGGGGGCCTTGTGCATACAAGGCAAGAACTCTGCCACTGAGCCACACCCCCACACCCTCAGGTCCATCCCTTTGGCTTTCTAAAACAGGGTCTTACTATGTACTTCAGGCTGACCTTGAACTATGTAGCCCATGCTGCCCTCAAATTCATGGCAATTCTCCTGCTTCAGCCTCCCAAGTGCTGGGATTATAGCCATGTGCCACCACTCCTGATTCCACTATACTATTTTCTATGTGAGGTCATGGACCACATGCACTTTTTAAAATTGCGATGTACTCAGCACATTCTCACACACTGAAGTAAAGCTTTCATATATTTGATTAATGCAAATTAGGAATGCCTATGAAGCCGGGCATGGTAGCACTCCACTCCTACTGCCTGTAATCCCAGTACTCAGGAGGCGGAGGCAGGAGGATTGTCATGAGTTTAAGGCCAGAGTGGGCTCTGTAGTGGGTTCAAGGCCAGCCTGAATTGCATAGTGAGATACTGTCTCAAAATAAAATAAAATAAAGTAAAAACCAAGGGAACAGCTAACGTCTAGAATATTCTCTGTGACAGGAACACAGTGCATGTGTACACATGTTAAGAGGTGATTAACTGGACACCTGGCCAACAGGCTCCCAGCGTAAGATGGCTTACCTTTGTAGAAAGGTTGAGTCAACTTTTTAGGCCACAAGCTACCAACACAGAGCAGGAGAAAAGAACGGAGCTTTGGGGCTGGCACTTTAGACAAAGCTAAAGGTCCAGGAAACAAAGTTGTCATTCCTGAGAGTGCTGTGGGCAGCAGCGAACAGGTGATCGGCCAACAGTGAGAGTTCCAGCTGCCCTCACCTTCTATCCCTCACTCGGTGGTCTGTTGAGCCATTTATGCACAGGGACAGTGCTTTACCCTCAGCTTCAAAACCGTTTTTTTGGAGGGGTACTAGGGATTGAACTCACACTAGCCCTTTTTATTTTTATTTTGAGACGGGTCCTACTAGTTTGTCCATGTGGGACATGAATTTTTGATCCTCCTGCCTTGGCCTCCTAAAGTGCTGGAATTACAGGCACAGGCTACAGCACCTTCAAAACCTTTTAACTTCAAACAGAGAGGGTCCTCAATGAATGTGTGTATGGAGAAACAATATATTCCCACTCCGGTCAGTAAATTCTGTGATGGGTCTGGTGTTCTTGACTGCAATCACCATCAGCACAAGGCGTTAGGTCAAGTCAACCTGCATTATCTGAACATATTCCACAGCCTCATGAGGGCAACAAAATGGGAAAGCGGTATCCCTGCCCTAAGAGCATGAACTAGGGAGACTAGATTTATGCAAATGAGACAATTAAAGAACGGGGCAACATATAATTACTGCTAAACTGTATGGTAAGAATTTAAGTGCTACAGGAACTAGAAAAAGCAGAGAGCAGCAAGAGCTCAAACAACTGGGGAGTCTTCACTGCAAAGTCGGGGTTGGGTTAAACTCTGAAGTAGGAAGCAAAGTACAGACAGGCTGAAATGCAGAAGGGTCTGGAAGTCCCAGCAGGCACAGGGCCAAACCCAGCATATTTGTCATTTTATTTGGAGGCAGTAACATAAGTAATGTGAAGGTGGCTGTTCCAAATCCCTAAACAGGGATATTTTTGAATACCTTGCCAATATTCCAACTCCTGGGTTTTGGTTTAATTTTTTTGTTTTGTTTTGTTGCCTTTTTGAGACAGGGTCTCACTATACAGTTCAGGCTGGCCTTGAGCCGACTTTGTAGCCCAGGCTGGTCTTGAACTCGCAATGATCCTCCTGCCTCAGCCTCCCGAGTGCTGGGATTACAGGCGTGCACCACCACGCCCAGCCTTCTTGTTTCATTTTGTTTTTTGCTCCTTGTAATGCCTTTCTCTCTTCCCCACTCAGCAAACGCTTACTCATATTTAAAGGCCCAGCTCAAATGTAATCCTTTTCTGAGTCCTTCCACAACCCATTGCTCCACTCCTACAAGAAAATTCTCTTACATTTGCCTACTCTCCCCACTACTGTAACTGATAGCAATTACATTTATTGGGCGTGTACTTTGAGGCGAAAACGAAGCTAAATATTTTTAATCTATTATTTTACTTAAGTCTTACCACTGCATGAAGCCCTTGTAATTTTCCCTATTTTATACATGAAGAGGCTTAGTGTGCTTAAGGAACCTGCACAAGATAACATACCTACGAAATTAGAAAGCTGGGATTCAAACCCAGATTTGTGAGACTCCAGAGTCCACTCATAATCCACTGGACCGTGTACTCCTGGAAGCCACAAATGCTCTTTACTCATCTCTCTTCTCAGATTCTAGGATGGTGGCTGACATGGCTCAAAACTTGTTTAACAAGTTCATACAACTTTCACATCACATGCCTGGGCCTAAAAGTAGGTGAACCTATTACTTCTTTACCCCGTTTAGGCATTTTCACCCACCTAAAAGTCACTTATCTGGGGGAAGGGGAAGGGGAGTAAATCTGAACATCCTACATTCGAATTTGAGTGCTTTATTTCATGGATTCAAGCGTGGGGAAAGGGAACTGTTCCTTCCCACAAAAGAACGCACGGGGACACGGGCTGGGTCTCAAGGTGAAGGTTCTGATTAACGGGGTGTGTGTCTCCTCTCTGGTATTTTCAAAGGCGCACCTTAGGAGTCTCACGCTGTCGGGTTTTCCCACCTGCCCCCAACACCGCACGAATCGGGCCCACACGAGGGACGGGGGCGGCCTGGGGTCACAAAGAGCCAGAGCAAAAAAAAAAAAAAAAATCTTTAAAGGGGCTAGGGATTTTTAGCTCAGCGGCAAAAGCGCCTGCCTGGCAAGCGCAAGGTCGTGAGTTCGGTTCCCGGTACCGGAGAAAAACCAAAACCAAAACCAAAACCAAAAAAAAAAAAAACAAACGAAGGGCCAGAGCTAGAACCCAGGAACACAAGCCCCGCCCAGCGCAGTTCTCAGCGTCTACACTGCGCGGCCGGGCGCGGCGTCTCTAAGCAGACAGCCCCGGTAGAGAATCTCCGCTAACCCGCTTCCTCCCTAGGAGCCTGAGGCCCCTAAGGCCCCGCTCCTCCGCCCACTGGGCCCCGCGGCCCAGGGAGCCTCCGCCCCTCGCAGGTCCACGGTCTGCAAGTCCCGAGCCCCGCTCGCCCGAGGGCCTGCTCCGGGCAATCGGGCCTCGCCGTGTGCGGGTCCCCCCTCTGCGCGCGCTGCCCCCTCCGGGACAGCGGCCAAGGCTCGCCCTCTCTGCCCACACGCCACGTCCTTGCCGGGTTCACCACCCAGGGAGCCCCATACCCGCTCCCCCCGCCCGCTTCCTGTCGGGGCGCGCGTCCTTCCGGCGGGCTGCTCCCCCATTGGCCCGTCACGGGCGTACGTGGGGACGGTCGCGCCGCGCCCCTGCGGCCGCTCTAGCCGGGGGCCCGCGCTCCGGCTCGTCCTCTCCGTTCGGGCTTTCCATGGTGCTGGCAACATGTGGCGCCTGTCGGGACTCCTGGGCCGAGGTAGGAGCATCTGAACCGCGAGCGCCTGAAGGCCGCTGAGACTCTGAGCCGGAGGCGCGGTGTGTGGGGGGAGGGGGAACGGCGCGAGGGAACAGCCGGAGCCACAGTGGGCGGGGTTACAAAGGAGGTGGGCGGGGCCTGGGCGGAGCTACCTAGTCCTGAAATCTGGGGCCGCTGGAATTGGAGACGCGTTGGGAGAAGTATGATAGTGTGGAGCTTGGCGCCAGGGAGGACTCAGCGAAGGGAGGCAATGGAGTGGGCGCAGCCAGCGAATGAATAGAGGGATTTAGAGACTAGCGTTCTCAACATAGGCCACAGCGTGTGTGGACGTGTGGTCATAGAACAAAGGTTCTCACCAGTGTAAGACATCACGAGGAGATTTTTCAAAATGTAGATGCTTCACTCTGAGAGATACTGCTGTATTGGTTCTGCAGTGGTCCCTTAGAATATCTACTAGGCTACAGATTTCCATGTGTATTCTTGTTTCAGAACCACTGCACCTGTCATCCCAGCACTAGGAATGCTGAGGCAGGAGGATTGTCGCAAGGTCAAGGCCAGCCAGGGCTACATAGTGAGTTCAAGGCCAGCCTGAACTACATAACGAGACCCTCTCTCAAACCCCAACTCCAAAAAAAAAAAGCCACTGCAAAGAAGTTTCTGAGTGGTAGAGCACTTGCCGCATGTACAAAGGGTTCCATTACCCAGCACCACAAAAACAAAAACAAGAAACATTGCAGAGGGAGATTCTAGTGATTCCTGGGTCCACTGCTATCTCAGGTTAGAGGCAAGATTGTTGGGCTACTGTTGTCTCAGTGCAGTTCCTGTTAAAGTGGCCTTTGTTTTCTATACAGCTCTTCCCCGTCTGCTGGGTCCTGATTTCCGGGGGGTGACCCCCAAGCCCACCAGCCCAGATGGGCCTCAGGCAACCTCCTCCTCCTCGCTGGTCTCTGTGCCCAACATCGACAGGTGAGACATTGCCATTTTGTCACCCATCTTCTCTCCTGGCCTTTCTTTGCCCACATTTTGGACAAAACTCGATAGCCTCTAATTGCATTATATAGGTCAGGCCCTCATGGCCCAAGTACAAGCAGGGATCCAAAGTCGCACAGATGGAAGGATGCCTTCCAGTGGATGTCCGCTCGTGTCTCCCCGAACACTTTGTGGGATGCCATCTCATGGGTAAGGCTTCCCCAGCCCTGACCTTTGCCTTCAGCGTGGATCAGAATGGTCCTGTGTGGAGTCTAAAAAACAGAGTAAGATCAGCATTGTCTTGACACGATGAGGAACCCGTGGCACTGGAGCGTATTCATGGAGATATTGTCACTCCCCCACCCCTGCTGTGTATCTTTTCTTTATTTCCTTCAGTAAACTTTTCTTTACACCTTCTCCAAGTCAAGCATTTTTGCTAGGCCCTAAGAGACATAGCAGAGAACAAAGTAGCTATAATTCTTTATGGTGCTTACAATGAATAGTAAGAAATAGCTAAGAAGTAGCCTTCCTTATTAATGGAAACTGTTATGCATACATTGTTGTAGTCAATCCTTACAAAAGTCTTGCAAGGGAACTGTAACCTTCATTTTGAACACGAGGAAACTCAGGCTCTGAAATATTAAGTAACATATTTGAAGGTTACAGCTGTTGAGTGAGAAGCCATGTTTAACTCTGGAATTCAGGCTGTATCACTTGGTTGCATTGCCTGGTAAGACTTGTGAAAGCACTTAAAGTATACAGCCTAGCCCATATTAACTAGTTAGCCCATATTAAGTATTAGTTGCTCGATACGTATTTGTTGAATCTGATCTGCAAAGTCACAGTCCCAGTGGTAAATACTGGGTCTAATAAGTCAAAGTTTGTACCTTTTAGGTAAAGATCCAGATTGACTATATTGTGAATGAAGTTGGCACATATATCACTCCTATGTTTGTCAATCCCATCCCTGCTACTTTTATGTGTGTACTTTAGGCAGATGACTTCATCTCTCTGAGCCTTACTTTGGGGAGGAGGGTAAGGGGGATTGAACCCCTGGCCTTCCCGCCGAGTTGCATCGCAGTCCTTTTTATGTTTCTTTATTGTGAGACAAGTTCTCACCGAGTTACTAGATTGCCCAGGCTGTGCTCAATTTTTGATCCCCTTGCCTCAGCCTCCTAGGGTGCTAGGATTATGTGGATGCCCTGCTGAGCCTCACTTTCGTGTTTTATTTTGCTTTTTGAGACAGGGTCTTGCTTTGTAGTCCAGGCTGGCCTCGAACTCCTGGCTGTCCTCCTGTCTCAGCCTCCTGAGTGCTGGGCTTGCAGGCATGTGCCACCATGCCCAGCTGAGCCTCACTTTCTTTAACCTGCAAATTGTTGTCATCAGCAGAGTTGAGTCTGGGGTTCTCCCTGACAGTGACACTGCTTTCTGGGTTTCTGTGGACTCAGGGTATAAAGTACCCTGGAGAGGGAAACAGTTTTCCATTTTGCCAAAGATCTGAGTCCTGGGGCAGAGTCCCACACTGGTTTCTCTGGGGAACTGGACCTGTATTCCAGAGGTCCTGATGCTACTTTGGGCCTTGTCCTCACTACCAGTATGAAAGGGGCTTTACACAAGCTGTCCCCAGAGCCAGGAGCACTTGTCCCTTCACAGTGCTGTGCCTTGTCTTGTTCTGGCTTTAGCTCATACAGAGGGACTTTCCCTCATCCCTCGTGGCGTCCAGTCTCCCACTTATGTGCTCTGTAACCTGCTGATTTGTTTCCTCTTTGCGTCTGGCATAATTACTAATTACAGCATTTATTTTTCTGTGTACTTTGGTTTTGTCTTTCTCAACACAAGACAGAAATTTCATGCGGCCAGAGACTGTGACTGTCTTATTTGTCATTGTAAACAGTGCCTGCTGGAGCAAATAAGTATGTAGATGTCCCTTCGGGAGCACAGCATGGGAGATGGGAAATCAGGGAGTCACTGGAATAGGAGCTGGCTCGGTCTTCTGCACACCAGTCAGAAGAAAGACGCCTTCAACAGGCCCACACCAGTTGCAGGAAAGGGAAGCTTATGCCAGGCTGGAGAAGTCCTGGTGGGGACTTGTCATGGCATTTGTGCTAGGCCCCATCTTACCACATTCTCTCTTGGCCTGCCTGCATTTTGTGTATCCAGTCGCTTGTACTGGGTTTGTTCAGCATCTATTTACTGGGCTCCTACACTAACTTAGCACCCTGCTGGCCACTTGGGATATGTTGGTCAGCAAAATGTGGGTGGTCCCTAACTTTGTTGTGCTTAGAGACAGGAGCAACAGAAGTACAATGAATAATCACAGTGATGAGTGTTAAGTATCAGAGGAGAGATTTGGGTGAGCTTGTTGCAGGGAGCGGCCCCATCCGGAGACAGGAAAGGCTTCCCTAGGAAATGATGATGGTGTTGAGGGCCGAGTCTGAAGCAGTTGAAGGGTGGGGGAAGGGACCATGTCCCCGATGTGCTGTCTTTTCCAGGGCACTCTGGCTGTGCTGGCCCTGCAGGTGGCAAGACAGCTCCACTTCCAGGCGTTCCTGCCCACAGGGCCTCGGCAAGCAGAACACTGCTCTTGGCGCAGTCCACTAGACCGTTTCCTCTCGTCTCCCTGGTGGCATCTGCACTCCTGTGAGTTCTTGCTCCTGGGGTGGGAGAGCTGGGTGTGAGTCGCTCTGGGGCGGGAAGCATCTCCGGACACACCTCAGGAAAACAGCCATGCAGCTCCTTGCCTTTCCTATCTGAAGTCAGAGGAAGGGGAATGTGGCGAAGTTCTACCCACCCATGGTGTGGACCGCACCTACCCCTTGGTGTTCCTCTGTGTCCTCCTGTCACCTCCTGTGGAGGGAGCCCCATGGGTCCGTCACCAGCTAGCATGGGTCCTTGTGTTAGTGATAATGGAAATTAAGACTAAACAACAGTGTAAATTTACAGGTAAAAACTTTACTTGGAAAGTAAGAGAGAAAATGGGGAAAGGACTCCAGCTCTGGGACTAGCTGGAAGGAGTGAGCTCTCGTGAAAAGGATGAGGCTCTTAGGGATTAGCTGAAGTCCCGCTGATGCTGAACCAGGGTCCTGCTGATCATTATGGCGGTCCTGGTTTCATAACTTTGGAGAAGCCCTCACGGCTTGAGGGCTGTTCTGAAATCATTGCTTCTTTTTGCAGTACTTCTCCTGAGACCCAGGTGACGGCCAGTTGAGGACAGTGACTAGAGACTTTTAGGAGTTGGCCCACGGGGGAAGGGTCTGACACTGGGAGTCATGAAGCCTGGTCATGAGATGTCCCTGTGAATCCTGAAAATTATTACTCTTCTCTGGGTGTCCTCCATCTTTTTTTTTTTTGTTGTTGTTGTTGTTTTTTTGGTTTTTCTCCGGTACCGGGAACCGAACTCACGACCTTGCGCTTGCCAGGCAGGCGCTTTTGCCGCTGATGGGTGTCCTCCATCTTGAAGGGAGGCGAGCTAGGTTAGGTAAGTTTAGGGCTAATAAACTTGGTTCTGTTGACTTTTTAAAAGTGAGTAACACGTGCATTCAAAGTTTGAGGTAGTAAGGAATACAAAACTGAAGGTCAGTCTTCGTTCTATGTTTAGTTACCTGTTGGTAGGCACAAGCAAAGGGCCGTGGGTGTTCGCAAAACCTGCTTGTAAGTCCCTGACTGCCTCAGATGAAAACAACAATTGTGCTTTTAATGAGTAATAGGTTAAGGGTCCTGGAGTTTATCTGTTGTCTCTGCTGTGGTCTCTGACCACATCAGGTCCAGGCCATGTTCGATCCTACGTGTGGCTTCCTGCCTAGCTCTTAACCAGTTAGGCCATTTTCTGGCCATTCAGTTGTTCATCACTAAGTGAGTCTGTATTCTGTGTATATTATGTGCCTTGGAACAGAAGCCACATAGACTAGTAATTGATCTCTGGAGTCAGATTGGGTTGTGAGGGTTCAAGCCCCAGAAATTCTACGTGCTAGTATTTTTTCTCCTTTTTTTTTTTAAAAAAAAAATTTAATTATTTTCTTTTTTTCCTTTTTGAGACAGGGTTTTGCTGTATAGTTCAGGCTGGCCTTGAACTCAGTATGTCACCCAGTCTGGCCGTGAACTTGCAGCGATCCTCCTGCCTGTGCCTCTCGAGTGCTGGGATTAAAGGCATGTGCCACCATGCCTGGCCTACATGCTAGTATTATATCCCTGAAAAACTTCCCTGTGCTTCAGTATCTTCATCTATAAAATGGGATAATAGTAAAATTGTAGTGTTTTCTTGGGGAGACTAAATGAGTTAGTATATGTCAAAGCCTTAGAACAGTGCCCAGTGCATACTAAATGCTTGGTGATTACTAGTTTAAGTATTAGTGCTTTTTTTTTCCTATTTTCTTTTTTGGTATCGGGAATCAAACTCAGGGCCTTTCACTTGCCAGGCAGGCACAGTGCTGCTGAGCTATATCCCCGGCCCTAAGTATTAGCTCTTGTCCTTATTGTTATGATTATAATCTTATCACTATTGCCATTAAATAAAGAGCTAGCAGCTGAAGCTACAACAGTGAATAAGGTAGATGCTGCTCTGTGCTGGAAGAATTCAAGCACAGGAGTGATTTATGCTTAGGGTGGGAGATCAGCCTGAATGTGGGCCCCAGAGAGGAAATGGAGGAGGAAGAATGGGAGGGAGGCCTCCAAGAGGCTTCCTCAGAGTTCTTCCTCTGACCTCCAGACCCTCGGGGGACTCAGGTTCAGCGGCTCAGGCTGCCCTGGCTCCCTTCTGACCCTTGTCTGCTCTTCCTAGCACTGCGGAGTCATGTTCTGCCCAGCCCCGACCGCCCAGCCCCCAGGCACCTTGGCCTCAGGAAACCCAAGCTGAGCCCGGAAGAGCCCTCAGCTCAGCCCAGAAGCTTCTCTCTCAGCTCCTTGAGATCAGCTGGTCCTCAGGAGCCCTCTGAGGAAGGTACGATCTCAACCTGAATCTGCAGAAAGAGGGTTGGGGGCAAAGGGGAGAGGGGAGGGGTAGGGCAGGTAGACATCGTTGCTGTACTTTCCCAGATAACAAATTGTCGTTCCTGTGGGGATCCATGCTTTCTGGGGTGATTCACAGTTGGTCTGGATCCTGGCAGGGGTGCTGGACGAAGAGGCTGGGCAGGCCTGAGAGCGGAGGGAAAACAAAGTCATACGCTTCTCCTTTGCCCTGGCTGGGTGAAGGCTTTGCCTTTGCAGGTCCCAGTAATTTCGGCCTCCTGGATGCCAGCAGTAGCTTTGAGTCCAAGCCAACGCCAGCCCAGCCTCAGCACCCTGGTGCAAAGAAGGTATCAGCCAGATTTTTGCCACCATATCATTCCCCAGATTGGGTAGCAAACCCAACGCACCATCCCTTCATGTGTCTTTGTATTCTTTCCCCAGGAACAAGATAAATCAAAAACTCTTTCCCTGGAGGAGGCCGTGACGTCCATCCAGCAGCTCTTCCAGCTCAGTGTTTCCATTGCTTTCAACTTCCTGGGTAATTGGGGGACCTTGCCTCCAGGCAGGGTGATGAGACAGGAGAGAGGGTGTGAGCTAGGTAGAATACAGTCAGCATAGGGAGTGATTTAAATGAGAGAGATTTTTATTCCAGGTAGGTAGACCAAATCTGGCATATAGCTCAGTGTCAGGGACCCACTCTTTTTTTTTTTTTTTTTCTTTTTGAGACAGGGTCTCTGTAGTTCAGGTTGGCCTTGAACTCATTGCTCCTCCTGCCTCACCCTCTCAACTGCTGGGATTATAGGCGTGTGCCACCATGGCCAGCTGGGACCCATTCTTATTCACATGAATTCTGCCATTCTAAAACTGCCCTTCCATGCCTAGCAGCTGCAAGGCTGAGCCAGGAAAATCACAAGTTTGAGCCCAGCCTGAGCAATTTAGCAACTTAGTGAGCTCCTGCCTCAAAATAAAAAAGTGTTTTGAAAAGGGACCAGAGATGTAGCTAGGTGTGAAGACCTGGGTTAAGTCCCTGTTATTGCAAAAACACATACACATCAAAAGGGCAAAAAGTGGCTTTCATTTTGAAGTCCAGTTTGCTCTTTCAGGCCCTGTTCTCCTGTACATATTCAGGCCAGCTGAAAGTCGGCTGCTGGGAGAAGCTAAAGGCTGACCCCTCCTCTTTAAGGACCCAGAGCTCAGACTTGTAGCAAGTCATATAAGCCACAATGGCCACACCATTCTCAGGGGGTGCTGAGAAGCAGAGAGCTCACCTGGATGGCCTAAAAATTGCTTTACTATGGAGGTAGGAGAAAATAATCCTATTCTCTGCATGCTTAGGAAAGGCAGATTCCTGAAGTTTGGCGCAGGCACTCAAGTGCATGAATAGGAAACTCTTAAGCTACGTCTGGAAGGTCCCATACCCTCCCCTGTTTGTCCTGGTTCTACAGTGACTTGACTCGTGTCTCAAGCTTCTAGTTGTGGAGACCCACACTCCCAGCAGCATCCATTGAGGTCTAGTAGGAAGGCTGATGAGAAGCTAGGATTCACTTAGAACAGATTTATAGAACATTGATTTTTTTGTTAAGCCCTATTTTAGGTGCTAGAGATCAGTGATTCCCAAGCCTACATTCTGAGCCAGGTATGGTGGCACATGCCTGTAACTCCAGCACTCAGGAGGCTGAGGCAGGAGGACTAACATGAATTCAAGAGCAGCCTTGGCTACATAATGAGTTCAAGGACAGCCTGAACTGCACAGCAACACCCTGTGTCAAAAAAAGACATCTTTATTCTCGTGGTGTTCACGCATGAGTTGAAGGAGAGAAAAATAATAAATTGGCAAATGAATAGAAAAGAAAATTTCTGATGATGAATATTACAAAGAAAGTAATACAAGGGAGAGCTGGGTGTGGTGATACACGCCTGTAATCTCAGCACTTGGGAGGCTGAGGCAGGAGGATCACCATGAGTTGAAGGCTAGCCTGGGCTATATAATGAGACCCTGTCTCAAAAACCACAAAGAAAATATAAAACAAGGGGATGTTTAGTAACTTGGGCAGTGAATAGCTTTGCAATCGGAAGTCTTTGCTGAAAGGAAAATTCTTAAGCTAAGAACTGATGACAAAAGCAAGCCCCTTTTGTTCCTGTCTGGAAAAGCTTTCCAAACAAGGGAAAGAAGGAGTGCAAAGGTCCTGAGGCAAGATTGAGTTTATTTACCAAGGAAACAAAAGACAGCTGAGTGTAGCTGGAGCTTAGAGATCACAGGAAGAATAGGAGATGAAGTCAGAGACGCAGGCAGGGGCCAGGTCAGCAGGGGCCAGGTCAGCCAAGACCCGAGCCGGGGTAAAGGGTACCATGACTTTCCTAAGTGAGAGAGGAGGTGCTTGGAGGGTTTTAAACTGGAGCAGTGAGAGGGTTAGCCACATGACCTGATACACTTCTCCCAAGCTCACTGTGGCTGTTGTGTAGACCAGTGTAGATCGCAGGGAGGCCAGAGAGGAAATAGACCAGGTAGGAGCTGTTACTGACAGCTAAGTGAAATGTGATGGTGGCTTGTCTGAGGTTAGAGGAAGAGAAGACAAAAATAAAGTGATCAGGCTGGAGCCCGTGTGGGGGATGGGGACAGGGTGGGATCTTTTGACCTCTGAAGTCTCCCAAGGACAGAAGGCTCTGTGAACCCTGGACAGCAAGTTTTCAGGCAGCAGGGAGGTGACTTCAATGCACTGCTGGCTGAATGGAGCTTGGTTTCTCCTTCATTAGCTCTTTGTGATCTTGACGGGCAGACGCTTCTTAGAATTTCTCGCCCATTCCTTCATTCATCTATTCATTTATTCAGCCGGTGCTCAGCACTGTGGCAGAACACAAAGGCAGCATAAGCTATAATCATATTTTGCATTTGTATAGAGCTTTCACCCTATGCAGAGTTACTTCTCCTACATTCTTTTTTCTGCTCTCCCTCTAGGATTTTACAGTCTAATTGAGGAGACAGGGTTTGTACTCTTGCAACAGTTTAGTTCATAGAAAAAGGTTTGATATATTAGGAAAATTCCACAAAAGTGGGTGAGGCCTGACTGTGGTCTGGAGGTTTTGGAACAGAAACAGGACGCCTGACAGTGGAGGTGGAGAGGTTGCAGGCAGGAACCAGCCTGAGCAAAGCTGAGCGCTGGCTGTGTTGGGTTCCTTTCCTGTTGCCTTGCTTGGGCAATGTAAAGAGCCCTTGACTGCTCCCAGTGTCCTCAGCGACAAGAGTAACAGTATCACCTGTCAGGTAGGGTTTGCTGTTATAAGCCACCGTAAATTCACTCCAACTAGCTAAAGCCAGAATCTGTTGGGATCTCTTGACCTTCCAAGCCTCAGAAAGGGCAGAAATCAGTGAAGTTGCATGGACCCGGGGGACAGCAACTGATAGACAGTATTGCCAGACTGCTGCTGTCAGAATAGACTTACAAGAGCTATTTTTCCCTCGTTGTTCAACCCGATCAAGAGTCAGATTCCTGAGAGTCTCATTGGTTGTGAAAAGCACAGGCACACTGATTGATGGCACCGGGGGAGGGGTTGTTCCCAAGGGGCAGTGAGAGTGTTGGAGCTACGAGAGGGAGGGGTGGTTTATAGATATCCACGGCAAGCCGGTGAGATATTTGGAGGATGGGAATCAATGCCAGTGTCTAGCGCAAAGACCAAGAGACGTGGAGCCGTGCGTTTCTAGCTGAGGCTGTGGCACCTTCCTAGAGGAAGCTGTTTGTGCTTTCTTACAGGGACAGAAAACATGAGGAACGGGGACTACACGGCAGCCTTTTCTTACTTCCAGAAAGCTGCAGACCGTGGCTACAGCAAGGCACAGTACAACATGGGCTTGTGTCATGAGCATGGCAGAGGCACCCACAGGGACCTCCGCAAGGTACTGTCCCTTCTGCCAAGCTGCCCAGAGGGAGCTCCAGAACTGAGCAGTGAGCAGGGGCCAGGGAAAGCCTGGCTTCTCTGACCTGGTTGCAGGCCTAGCGATGAGAGAAAAATAAGAAGGAAGTTCCTAACTTCTAGGAATTTAGATTCAAAACTCAGAGCAAGCATCCTGGCTTTTGCTTTGCAGCTATACCCTGATAAATGGAGCAGCACCTTGATAAATTGATTAATTTTTTAAAAGGATAAGTACACAGAGATACTATACACAAGGGTATGTTTCTTCAAGTTGTATATGAAGGCAAAACACAAAACAAACAGGCCAGGAGGGGTGGTGCGTGCCTGTAATCTCAGCACTTGGGAGGCTGAGCCAGGGGGATCTCAGTGAATTCAGGCCAGCCTGGGCTACAGAGTGAGTTCAAGGCCAACCTGAATTTCATAGTGAAACCCTATCTCAAAAAGATTTAAAAAAAAAAAATAGAAACAGCAACTTAGCGTATCTTCAGTACAGAACTGGTTAACTATATCTCTGTAGACCTTAAGTGATGTGCTGGATCTCTGTTTATTGGCAGGAGAAGTCATTCATCGTGAGTGACTCTCTCTGTCTCTGTGTATATGTAACGTATCTATGGGAATAAATTTGCAACCTGTACACTAAAAGTTTAATGGAGAATGATCTTTAGGAGACAAGGTTCCTTGGAATTTATGTTTGTATGTGTAAATTTTGATGAATCTCTATTTCTTGACTAATCTGTAATGACTGTGTGTTATTTTTTAAAATTTGAGCCAGAGAAAAAGTGCTTAGAGAGCTCTGAGCAGACTAGGTGTTTCTTCTTTTGCCCTAGGCGATCTTTTATTACCAATTGGCTGCTAACCAGGGCCACAGCCTCGCTCAGTACCGCTGTGCCAGATGTCTGCTGCAAGCCCCAGCCTCCTCAGGGGACCCTAAGCAACAGAGAGCACTGTCCATGCTGAAGCAGGCTGCAGACTCAGGCCTGAGAGAGGTGTGTGCCATTGGCAGGGTCCTCCCTGGCTTGTCTGGGCCACATGGAGCTGAGTGATTAGGGTGGCTTTTTCTTTCCTCTTTGCCCACAGGCCCAAGCTTTCCTTGGGGTGCTTTTCACGAAGGAGCCACACCTGGATGAGCAGAGAGCTGTGAAATATTTGTGGCTTGCAGCCAGCAATGGGGTATGTGACCTGTGATACCCAGGCATGCTGAACACCAAGTGTAACCAGAGGAGGGGTTTGGGAGTTGGCATGGAGTTCTGTGCTTAGGCTGTGGTTTGCTAGGAGCCTTGGGCTGGCTTCAAACTTTGGCTCCTGCTGACTTACTGTATGACTCTTGGGCAGGTCCAGTGGCCTGTCAGTGCTTAAAATCAGCTAGAGTCGGAGCATTTGCTCACCAATACTGTTAAATACAACATGGCAGGTTCCTCTCCACCCTGTCAGTTGTTAAACATTTACCAGCATGCTATTGGACAGAGCACCTGTTTTTAAATCTGTTTCCTTATCTTTCAAATCAACATAATTAGGGCTAGGGATGTAGCTCAGAAGCAGATCTCTTGCCTACCATGTGTGAGGCCCTGGATTTGATGCCTAGTACCACAAGAAAACCAAAAAGAAACAAAGTTACTCAATAAAATCAACATAAAGGCAAGGCTTGGTGGTACATTGCTATAATCCCAGCTACTTGGGAGGCTGAGGCAGAAGGATTATAAAGTCAAGATCAGCCTGGGCAATTTAGAAAGACCCTATCTCAAAGTAAAAAGGTCTGAGTTGTAGCTCAGTGCTTCCTGGGTTTAATTGTTTGATCCCCAGTAACACATACACACACCCCAACAGCAACATAATACCTGTCTACACACACACACACACACACACACACACACACACACACACAGTCAGACACATAAGGTGGACACACTAAGCAGGTACCCAGGAAAGGGATATCTGATTGTCTATGAAATACAGCCTGCATAACCCGGAGTTTGTTCCCCTGGCATTAAGGGACACATGGTTAATTGGGTTTGGGAAATACTGAGTTAAACAGCTGTCTGTATGATGTAGTTCAGACTAGTGTTGAACTCACTGTGTAGCCCACGCTGGCTTTGAACTTGCAGCAATCCTGCCTCAGCCTCCCGAGTAGTAGGATTACAGGCATACAGCTATCTTTAATGCAACAAATCTTAGAGCTTTGTATAACTGAGAAACATGGAGAGGGTGACCTGTGGTTTGCTGAATTCCTCAAGTGTATTAGGCAGTATCTGGTTTCATTTATACCTTTAAGGGCCAGGACTCCTGGATTAGAGCACACAGCGCGCCTACACTGTAATTTGCTCTGAGCAGTGCTGATGCTTTTTGTTTCCTGGGTTTATTGAATCTGTGGGCATCGGAACATCATGCCTTGTCCAGTCTGTTGCTCCATCATCATCTGTGATAGCTGTCAGAAAGGGACCAGTGTCGTCAACCAGAACCTGCTAACCACATCTGTTCTTCCTTCAAGAGCCCCCAGAGCCTTCCTCAGGTGGCATGGGCCTGCAGTCCACGCTCTGGTACACCTGGGGGCTCCCTGGCCTGTCTGGGCCAGACCAGCATGCTGAGAAGGGAGGTACGCAAAGGGAGCCCCATCACCTATTATGTGTCAGCACCCAGGCCTCACACCCTCCCACCTCAGGGAACCGTGTCTCCCAGGCTGGTACCGAGCAGAACCATATTCCAAGGGTGCCCTTCCCTCTGCTGCGTCCTAACCTGGCTATATGCCTGAGTGCACTGCATTGATTGCAGAGACCTCACCTGCGGGGTGTAGAGAGCCCTTCCTAGTCCCCCGCACGGCCCAGGAAGTTTGTATTTGTAATCCCATGAAAAGTTATTGGAATTCTAGGAGTTAATTCCAATCTCCCACTTCCAGTGCAACCCATGGCGAGAATAAAGACACTAAGGCATATTTGTAGTAATGGGGAGCCAAGGGGTCCTAAGTCTAGCCACAGTAATGACCATCCGGAACAAAGGCCTATACCCAGGACCGAACCCAGATTTTATTCATTTGTGAAGAAAGGAGTGGCTTGAGGATGAGTGACCGTGAGAGTGGCAGGAAATACATGAGTGCCATAAGCTGAGCTAGGTAGGAGGCCTGAAATCACCTCTGCCATATGCAGAGAGAAGGATATGCAGAAAGAGTAATCTGAATAACATAATTGAGATAGGATGTAATGTTTTGGGGTCGATGCTTCAGCTCTGATGAGTAATCTCTGAAGCTCCAGGAAGTCGCCTCTATTCCCAAGGCTCGATCCCAGCTGACAGCGTGGAGCACTCCTCACCCGTTCCACCTCACTCGGGGGAACAATGGGGGTGGGGAAGCATGCCTGCCATCTCTAAAGATTCCCATCAGCACCTGGCTAGACTGATTTGCATTGCTTAAAGCCAATTGCAGGGATAAGGAAAGGTCCTAGCCAACTCAGTACATATCAGTACATGGAAATGGGGTCAGGCTCAGCCAAAACGGAGGCAATTGCTCCTCTTTCAGGGAGAGTCACCCAGGTGTCCTCCATATGGGGGCACAGAAGTGGAGGCAGAATTTTTTTTTTTTTTTAGAAGCAGAATTTTAGCAGAAGTTTGACTGTGGAGGGTAGAAGAGAAATAGGACCATGATTGGGAGTCCACAGAGTGGGGTTTGGTTTTCTTTTTTCCTTTTTTCCTTTCTTCCTTCCTTCTTTCCTTTCTCTCTTCCTCTCTCTCTCTCCCTCTTTCTTTCTTTCGCTACTGGGGATCAAACCCAGGGCCTTATGCATGCAAGGCAAGAGAGCTCTACCTCCCCCCCATTTTCTTTTTCAGTTGGGAGATTTCATATGATGAAAATATTTCAGTAGAGGAAAGATTAACTAATGATAATAAGATGATAATAATAGCACTGATCTTAAGTACTTTTCATATTGTAACACAAAAACCAAGTACGATGATGCTATTATTATCACCGCTGTATAGATGAGGAAACTGAGGCACTGAGACGTACAGTAACAAGTCTGAGGTGAGCCAGAGCCGAGATTGGACCCAGGCTGACTGGTGTCGAGCCTGGGCTCCTTACCTCCTACCTGTTCTCTCAGAGCATCGTGGCCCCAGAGCTCAGGGAACAGGGAGAAGCAACACTTGCTCTGTCACTGTGCTTCTCAGCTCTCATACAGAGAGTCAGGAAGGCAGAGAGGCCTCTAGCAGGTGGACCCTCCTCCACTGTGGCCTGCTCTTTCAGGAACGTGCAGGAGACAGACTCCTGGGGGTCCCATACTGGGCTGAGAGTTCTGCGGCTTTCTTTCAGTTGGCCCCACAGGAGGAGCCACCATATGGCTGCAGCTGAGTGGGGCGAGCTCGGAGGCTGTGGCATTTCGTGGTTGAGATCCCTTGGAATGTGGTGGGCCCGGGCTGGGCCTTCCCCCAGCGCGGATGAAGTCCCAGCATGCTGACTCTCCTCGCTCCTGGCTGTTTCAGTTCCTCATTCCTCTGTGTCTGTCCATCTTCTTTAGGACTCACAGAGCAGATACCACTTGGGAATTTGCTATGAGAGGGGCCTTGGTGTGCAGAGGAACCTGGAAGAGGCCATGAGGTGTTACCAGCAGGCAGCGGCTCTGGGAAATGAGCCTGCCCGGGAGAGGCTGCGGACCCTCTTCACAGAGGCAGCAGGTACGAATACAAGTCCAAGCCACAGGGTTCCTCTCCTGAACTTGGTGCCCAATGAGACATGGTGGGGTGGAGGAAGCCCCTGGTCTCCCTGTCATTTCTGTCCCCAGTGATGGTAAGGAGCACAGCCTTTAGAGTCAGGTCAGCCTGACTCTGCTGTCACAGACCCGGGCCCGTATGTCTCTGAGCCTGTTTCTTCATCTCTGAAAATGAGGGTCACAGTAGCACCGAACTCATTAGCTTGTTGGAAGGATTGAGATGATGATAATGGACTCAGCACAGCCTGACGCGCAGTAGGTACTGAGCAAATGGTGGCTGCTCCGGTGACTTCTTAGGAGGCTCAGTGCCGTGGGCTCTCTGAGTGACCCATCTGGGACTCCAAGGTCCACCTGCTCATGAGTCTCTGGGGCTGGTTGCCTTAACAGTGCCAGGGGGAGCCAAGTCTTTTGAGAACTTTCTGCTTCAAAATAGAAGTCTGAGAACGCCGCCTGAGGAAGCACTGCTTTCACCCCTCCTTGCAGCCCTCAGCCCCAGCCACCTGGCAGTCGCAGGACTGAGGTCTTTCTCCAGCCCCTCCCTCTGCAAGCTGAACTCCCTGCTGGCAGGCACCTCAGGTCTCCCTCACGCGTGGAGCACTGGGAATCTCAGCCACCTGTGCAGGAGCCAACCTCTTGGGGCCAGCCCAGGAGCCCACGGCAGCACTGTCTCCTCCTTGGAAAGAAGTCTTGTAAGATTGGGCTTTGGCTAAGGTGAGATAAAACAGTCATGGGCCAGAGGGGAGGGGGCAGGTGGTGGGAGAACAGAAAGAGGTGTCCGTGTCCCTTCCCACTGGAAGCCGAGGTACCCACTGTTGCAAGTGCATGGCTAATCCAGTGCAGTAACCATTTCCCCACTTGCTAGCCTTACAGGTGGGTTTTGGTGCATTCTCAGCTATTTCTACTCTGTGCACCAAAAGAATGTATTGGGTGACCTCTGAAAAACTGCAGGAGGCTACAGAGACCCTGTTCTTCACCTTGGCCTTCATCTTTGAGCAAATCATTACCTTCTCCATCCCCATGCCTCAGTTTCCTCACCCCCAGCCCACACTGTCGTTTCCCAGTGTGCCTCTGGTAGTTTGCGAGAAGATAATAGGTAGTCTGCAAGTTAGTATTTTTTATTTTAGTGGTTATATATTTAATGTATGATATGAAATATGACTACCATATTGATCTGCTACAGATATTTACAAATACTGTAAATTTACAATTACTGCTACAGTAATTTACAATTTACAATTTACAGTTTACAATTACTGCTACAGTAATTTACAAATTACTAACTTGTAAGAAATTGGAATTAATTTAGAGAAAAGCAGTGTCTAGCCAATGCATTGTCACACACCTCTAAACCTGACTTGTTTGGGAAGCTGAGGCAGGAGGATTACAAATTTGAGGCCAGCCTGGGCAATTTAGTGAGATCCTGTCTCAGAAAGATAATTAAAAAGGGTGAGGAGCCAGGCATGGTGGTGCACACCTGTCATCTCAGTGCTCTGGGAGGCTGAGGCAGGATCACAAGTTTCAGCCCAAGTCTGGGCAACTTAGTGACCTAGCAAGACCCTTTCTCAAAATAAAAAATAAAGGGCCGAGGTTATACCTCAGTGTGAAGGCCCAGGGGTCAATTCTAAGTACTACTGAAAAAATTAAAAGACTGAGGATGTAGCTTATTGGTAGAGCACTCGCCAAGCGTGTGTGAGTCCCCAGGTTCAATTCCCAGTAGCAGGGGGAAAAAAAACCTTGAAAAACATTGTGCCAGGGAGAACAGATCTGGAGGTGGCAGCAGGTGCGGGGGCGGCTCTGTGAACGGCTGAGACTCGGGAAGCGCTGAGACTTTTCCCTGAGACGAGCTCCGGCGTTCCCATGTGTTCTTCCCGATGGGTTCATGGTGGTTTTCATTTCGCCTTTGCTTAGGAGGAGGGAGTTCCTGATGCCTGCACTATCTGCTTGACTTTTTCAGACCTCCCCTCGGCCCTAACGATGGAGCCTTTGAGTTCTCAGAATATCACTACTTGAGTCCCACAGAAGCCAGTTACCATTCACCATCCCAGAAACCTTGAGTGCCTCCCCAGCACTGTAAAGAGGAGGGGAGCGTGTGCACACCTGGCTCTGGCCACCACCCGCCTGGCCTTGTCACCTTGTAGCAGGGACCCTAGTCACGAATGTCATTTCCTCAGCCGTAGACCAAGGGCAGCAGTGCGTGCCCTCTGGGCTTCACAGGGCCGATGCTGGGCATTTCACCGCAGAGAGGACCCCGGTTCCTTCTTAGACCGCTGAAGGCAGAGTGATGCAGTTACACAGCCTCATGAGACTCCAGGCCGGGATGAGGGCCCAGGCCTCCTGACTGCTGGCCCAGGCTTCTCTTCTACTGTTCACACTGTCATTCTGTGTGAAAGCGTCATTATCATCCTGCCGATACGAGGGAGGAAATGGAGACTGGGCACCTGGAGTCTTGGAACCGGACAGTATAGACTGAGTCTTCACTTGGGAAAGGTGAGCCAGAGGTATCTGGGCATTTAATAAAGCAGCTCGTGGATTATCTCATCACTCTTGCCCTTGAGTGTGTTGGTGAGAGGCGGGGAGACAGGAAGGGGGGCTGAAAGGCAAGGCTCCATCCTCATCTCTGAACTCTCCATTAACCAATTAAAGGGTCTTAAAAGCTTCTCCAGGAGAGAGACTTAGAAAAAAAATGATTTCTGAGTCAACGCTAATGACTCCAATTACTGAATTTGTGAATAGCTGTTCCCTGGCTTCTGGATGTTAGCTGGAGCTCAGCAGCATAGGCATGGCAGAGGAAGAGGAAGGGAAAGACTGAGGACCGGCTCCTCCGGTGACTGCTTACACAGAAGAACCAGCGAGCTTGGCCAGTACAGAGGAGGGAGGATGTGGGGACAACGTTGTCCATAGTCCCTCTGCTACCAACCCCCGCCTCTCCCAGTCTCATAGGAGGTGCTTTCTACACTTTTCTAAGACCTCACTCACCCCTGGAGCCCCAAGAGCCACCTCCTTGGTAGCAGGGACCCCATCTTTGTAGCCCAGCATCTCAGCGTCTCGCCCAGTGTTTTGTGTAGCACAGGGGCTCGGTGCTGTTTTAAGCCATCCAGTGCACTAATCTCTCAGCCAAAAAAAGGGTTTCTGTGGTCAAATAAGTTTGGGAAGCACTGCACCAGACGTCCCCTTTTTGTAGATTCACAGTACACATCAGCAAATTCCAGGTTCCAAGAAGTCCTGCAGTAAGAACACTGTTAACTCAGTGTGCGCCTCCCTGGCCTGAGACAGAGCCGCCTCCTTCCTGGGCACCAGCAGAAATGTCACCACTTTCTGTCCTGGTGGTGCCACACTTACCGGTTGCCTCCCCGCCTGGGCATTTTGGGCCCTGATTCCTGCTTCCCTGCCCGTCACTGGGGCCAGGCACACCCAGACAGTGGACCTGGCAGCTGATGGAGAAGGCGCTGCGCCAGCTCCCTCCTGCTCAGCCACTGCGGGTTAAAGGCAGCCTCTGTCTGGGAGCCTGAGGTGAAGCAGGTATTTCTAAACTCTTGAAGCTGGGAAGGAACAGCCTGTCCTAGTGGAGAGGGAAGGGTGGAAGCTGAAAGGACATGTCATCAGGGACCAAAAGCCCATGGCTGTGCAGTCATTGTCGTCTTGATTCAGCCCCAGGAGACTGGCTTTGTGGGCACAGTGGGCAGACTGGGCAACTGCTGTGCTTCTGCCATTAAAATTCTGCTATTAAGGACCTGTCTTCAGTGCCCTGAGGGGAAATGCTGGAGGGAGGCAGGAGAGGGCCCCGCATCAGGCCAGCCTGTCTCAGAATTCTGGCAGATCTAAGGATCCGGACCTGGGGCCTGATTCACGAGACCCTGAGCAAAGCTCTACTGCCTCAGTTTCCCTATCTAGAGATGTTCTTTCCAGGGATCCCTTGACACTATGGTGGGAACAAGGCCATTTGATTCATTAGATCTTCCAGGCCAGTACGTGGAGGGCACTTAGCAGATGTTCAGGAAATAGTCATCAAATGCGAGTGATTATTTGTACCACATCTCCACTCAATGCCCAGCACAAACCTACCCAGGACATAGTAAGTGCTTTAAATAACTGTTGAGTGGATGAATGAATGACTCCAAATACCCCTCCTTCTTCCCCTAACTGTTGATTCTTGTACTTTCTGGCACTTAGCAATTGTTCAATAAGTAATAAACACAAAATGTTTGTTGAATGAACGTTGGTAGTCATGCCCTTCCATTACATCAATACTTAGTAGCGGCTAGAAAGCCCCGACCTATTTCCTAGGTGCACACTGTGTGCCAGGCTGAGCCTGTGGTAAGGCTCTGTCTTCCCCCGCCTTGTCCTTTTGGGATTTGGACCTCTCCAGAGTCCCAAGGGTAGTAGCTTTCATCTCACTCTTGTTTCAGCTGAGGAAAGGTAGGGTCAGTGAACTGCCAAGTTGAAGTTGGGTGATAGGCGAGGAAGCTGCCTGTCAATCTCCGAGCTGCCCCAGGCTTGGAGTGAGGTCTGCATTGCACTACTGGTGCTGAAGAACGGCTGACTATTGATAAAAAAAAATGTCCCTCTCTGCTTTCCAAATTAAGACGACATTTAACTGAGTGCTTGCTGGCTTGCCTGCTCTCTCAGATCTCCCAGGAGACAGAGCCCATCTTGATGGAAACAGTTTTGAACATGTCCAAAGTCTCAGCTTTGACATCCTGGCTGATGTCAAGAAGTTTCTGTAACCTTCCTGTTCAGCACACCCAGTTCTGTCACCATATGTACAGTCTCATTCTCAGCCTGTTACTGGGGAAAGTGCTGGTGTCAGCGTGCTAGGAGCAGGTGCCCGATACAGCGAAGAGCGCTAACCCTCCCATCAGAGCCCCGCCCCTGACCAGAGATCGTTTGCCGTGGTCCAGGGCAGCTCTGCGCAGTTCAGGTTCCATGGGGAAGGGAGGGCAGAGGATCGACGTCAAGGACTGCTGGGGTCCTAAATCTTACTAACAACATAGACCCCTGTGGGAATGTGATGAAAGCATCTACTCTTTCTCAAAGAAAAATGCAAATTCTCCAAGTTTTGCAGGCAGATCAACAGATTCATAGATCCAGAAGCCCGACTGAAGACCCCAGGTTAGTAACCTTTGATATATTAGAACAGCGTTCTAAATCCCAGATCCACATCCCAGGTCTACCGCAAACCTGCCATGTGGCATCAGACAGGTGTGCTGTTTCTGTATCTTTGGCCATAAAATGAAGGTTTGAAATAGCTAAAGTTCAAATTCCTTTCGCTGCAATGACCCACATCTGTGGAGGTTTAAGTGGTGTCCTACAGCAGTACTGATAACCTTTTATAGGTCACATGTTCCCTTGGGACTCCGATGAGAACTTTGTACCCTCTGTGTAGAAAACTTATCTATACGCAAAGCTGTACTTGGCATTTGGGGTATTCAAGGACTGTAGTTTCAGTGCTTGAATGAGTGCCTCAGTGGTCCCATGTAGCCAGTGACCCAGTTATAGCTGTTGTTTCGCCCCCCATTTCTTCTCCACCCTCTCAGCATCAGCCCTGCATTGCAAATCCACTAATGGTGGAAGGGGCAGTGGTCCACATGGTCCACTTATTTATTTATTCATTCATTCATTCATTCATTCATGTAATGGCCCACTTTATTTTTTTTCCTTTTTTTTTTTGGTCTTTTTGAGGCAGGGTCTCCCTGTGCAGTTCAGGCTGGCCTTGAGCTCACTTTGTAGCCCAGCCTGGTCTCAAACTTCAACGATCCTTCTGCCTCAGCCTCCCGTAATGGCCCACTTTAGTACTGTAGTTTTCAGACTTTGCTTTTACCTAATGGGGCCATTTTTTCCCCAGTGTAGTCCTACCTGGAGCTTCAGTACATATACCAGGGGATTCTGTCACCTTTGTTTACACATGTATTCATTTCACACAGCTATCCAACAGATACTCAGTGAATGCCTTTCTGTGCACGGTATCTGCCTGGTCAGGCTGCAGACCCTGCCTGCTTGGTCTCCCCTAGCCTTTCTCAGTGACCTGCAGAGCCCAGCTCTACGCACCAGCTTGAAAACCACAGATCTTCACTCTCACTCAGAGGTGATGAGAAATCCTGAAGTGCTTAACCTCAGGGGCCTCATTTTCCTCATCTGTGAGACAGAACGGTGATGTCACACTGCATCCCAAATATGTGGCTTTCATGATTCCTGGTGGGGAGGGTGGGGAGAACAAACAGGGGTAGAGGACACTGGGACCACGGCTGCTCATGTGTGCTGACCGCTGGGGGAGCAGGAAGAGGAACTTCCATTTTCGGTCTCCAGAGAGCGCCACACTACTCAGAGCTATAACTGCTTGGTAATTTCCAGGAAAATTACAAGGCTGAGCCTTGGGAAAACATTTGTTTTTTCACTGCCCCTTCCCTGGAAGGTTTGCTGCTGTCAGTGTTGATTTCATAGGCCCAGTTCAGGTACTGCCCTCTGGGGTCTGGATTCATAGCGCCCAACCTGCTACGACAGCGGAAGAGTTACTCGTAAACAATGTTTGGGAATGATGACTTCTGCATTGCAAGGCCTACTCTCTGGGAAAGTGCAGGGCATTGCAGCAGGTCAGATCCAGGTTTCCCACCCTGTGCTTTACAAGTGCAGAGCTGTGTGACCCTGAATGGCTTTGGGAACATTCAACAGAGTTCCTAAAAGGAGCTCAGCAAGTCCACTGCTGTTTCACTGGCAAAAACTCAAGCATGGATCTTTTCTTTTTCCATTACTTGGCTGGCAGTCTAATGCCAAGGTTCAGGGCATGGGTTTTGGTGTCGGGCCAGCCTGCGTCCAAATCCTAGCTCTGCGTCTGTTCCCTGTTCAATCTTGGGAGTGACACTCAACTTTTCCAGGCTTCATAAGCGTGAAGGGGGGATAAGAATACCTCCCTCCTAGGACTATTGGAAAATCATATTAAATCCTATTATAAAGCCTGGTGCTTGGCTTGTATAAATGTAGAGCATTTATATGAGCTTTTTTTAGTCCTGGTTTTCCAGCTGAGAAGCAGATTACTGGATAACAGGGGCGTGGGGTCAAGAACACACACGTCCATCATCTGCATGCCTGTCGCTGCACCGGCATGCCCCACAACTGTCCGGCCCAGCATGACTTTCCTGCCAGGGATGGAGTAACTACTCTTACTCTGTTACCATGCCTTCCTCCCTCTGAACAGGTGCAAACAGGAGAATGAGTGGCTGTTTTTCCTTTATTTGTAGGACAGGCAGCATTGCCTTATGTCCCCAGAATCTAGTCCTCTGCCTCCGGTAGCCAACAAAGCCACCTTCCCTGCGTGTGATCCTCTGAGGCATCTGTCTCCACTGAGGACCGGCCCTTTGCGCTATGTGTTTTGCCAGCAAACACTTCTGCCACACTGTCCCTGGTCTCCAAAACATTCCCAGGGCGCCTTTCAAGAGGCTGCTCTTCTCAGTCAGTCAGCTGTTAGTCCTATGGTCCTGCTTCCTCTGTTGGCCAGCAGTAGTCACCCTGAAGTTCTGCGGCCAGCTCTGGCCAGTGAGTTTCAAGGTTTTAGAAAACAGCTCATGTCCCCCTGCTCCTCAGGGCCTGGGCTCTCTAGCATGTCCCAGGAACCTCCTCCTGGCATCCAGAGGCCTCCGGCTGTGCTCACAGGAACCTGCTGCTGCCACTTCCACTCCTGTCCTCAGCCCCCTTCTTTCCACCTGGGCCCTCCAGCACCTCCGTGTTGGAGGCCACACTGGTGGCCAGGTCCAGACTGAGGGTCCTACCGCAGACGGACAGCCGCCGCAGGGCCTCGGAGGCAGCCTCCACCGGCACCTCGGAGCGCTGCTCCAGCAGCATCTCCAGCAGCGAGCTCATCTCCGAGAGGAAGGTGCTGGCCAGCCGTGTGCCCGCTGGGCTTAGCTCAGGTGCTGCTGCCACCTTGCCGAAAGTCTGGAAGGTCCTCGGCTCCTCTGAGACTGCAGCATCTGGGGACATCACATTATCTCGGTAATTGGTGGTGAGTGGCAAAGAAAGCCTTGCCATCCAGGCCGGGTCTGGGGCGCTGAGCCGGTCCAGGGCCAGGCCTGCAGGGGACAGAGGGACACAGTGAGGGCCCGGCAGCAGGGAAGGGCCCGGTGGGTGGTGGGGCTGTGGGCAGGGCAAGGGAAGGGGACAAAGGAGGGAAGGGAAATGGCAGAGGACAGAGAGGGTGGCGAGGCAGGGACAGGAAGGAAGAGGCCCTGACAGGGAAGCTTGCTGGCAGGAAGGCTCTCGACAAAGCGACAAAGCACCAAAGTGCCTAGCAGGGCCACACGGGAGACTAGCAGGAGGACACTGAATGAAGGAATTCTTCAGTGTGTCTGGAGAGCTTCCCTGCTCACAGAGTGTTCAGGCCTAGGCGTCTTCCCTTCGCTCGAGGAGGCTCACGCCTTGGAGAAACTTCTGCCTTTGTAGTACCTGCTGGAGGCTGGGGTATGGATCCCCCTTCTTAGGCCGAGCTGGATTTCCTGGCTTGGCACCACCTTCTGTTCATATGCATCATTACACTGACCACTCACTAGGCACTTTGTGTGTCAAACCTCTTACATCATTATCTCATTTAAGGTCTGCACCGGGCTTTGAGGTCAAGAGCGTTATCTCCATTTTGCAGATGAGGAAACTGAATGTCAAAGTGTTTAAGTCACACATCTGCTAGGCAAGCAACCCGGATTTGCCCCTGAGGTGTACTAACTGTGAGATTGGACTCCTAACAGGGTAACTCTGAAGCCCAGGGGACTGCACTTTCTGCTCACTCTCTAAAGAGCTTGCTCTTTCCCTGGGGGATTCCCAGGCCTGCTAGGGGCTGCGCTGTTACCACCTCCCCATACCCTCAACTCCTCCTCACCTTTCACCTCTCAAGCAGCAGGAAACCCTGGCCTAGAGTCAGACTGGAAGGGAGCTGCCTGCCGGGAGCCTGTCCCTGGAAAAGGACCCTGGCAGTGGCAGTGGCAAAGTAGTTTGGTGCTTAGGAATTTAAAAAATTGTCCCCTGGATTTCCAATGCCACCTTCATACTTCTTTTCCTATTTCTTCCATAGGAAATCCTGTCTTGGAAAACTAATTCCAGACCTGATGTCAGAGGTAGAGATGGAAGAAAGAAAGGAATGTATAAGTTTTATGGTTAAAAAACAGTATCTTTCGGGAAAAAGAGGCCACACATCTAATTTAACATGTATTCAGTGTTTGCTTCAGGTGAGCAACTTTAAGATCCATACAGGATTAAAAGACTGAAAGGAGGCCAGGCATGGTGGCACACATCTATAATCCCTGTACTCTGGGAGGCTGAAGCAGGAGGATAGAAAGTTCAAGCCCAGCCTCGGCAACTTAGTAAGACCCCTGCCTCAAAAAAGGGCTGGGGCTGTAGCTCAGTGCAGAGGCCTCAAGTTCAGTCCCCAGTACCAGAAGAAAAAAAAAAAAATGGTCAGAGGAGATAGGGTAAATTATCCCTGCACAGAAGTGACTTTTTTTCCTCCTTTTTGTTTATCTATATTTTTTACATTAACTGAATACTGCTTCTGTAATTTGAAAAAAATTATTCTAAAGTACACCTAATCTTGTTTTAATATTGATAAATGATTCTGTGTCTCTCACTTGGTTCTGGATTGTGCAGGCTGGGAGGCAGGCTTGGGTCCTTGCCCTACTGGATCTTGGGGTCTGGCCTCATGCCTGGGACTTAGCGAATGTCTGTTGAATGATTAATGAACATAAATATTGATCCTCGGTATTTGGGAACTGTAAACCTTAGTTCCCTGAGACTGTGAGGCGATAAGGTTAGAAGGAGCTCTGGGAGATAAGAATCAGACCTTTCCTTATACAGTACAAGGGTCAGCTGCAGGAGCGCAGCTTAGACTGGGAATTCATGGGGCATCACCCTCCCAGGCCAGCTTTGGGTTCCCCTGGATTTAACTTCTCAGCTTTGCGACTAGTAGTACTGTGACCTTGGGAAAAGGGCTTAAACTCTCTGAGCCGCCTTTTCCCCTCACAAGTGGTGAGAAAGTAACACTCATCATTGTGAGAATTCAATGAGCTCATCCAACCATAAAATACTGTCGTCATCACACCCTCAGGTGGGGCTTGTATCTGATCACCAACACTCAGCCTCCACCCCAGGCCCCAATGAGCAGCAAAAAGGCTTTGCTATCCCTGCTTCTCTCCTACCTCTCACTGCTCAGTGCCCCTGGGCTGTGGAAGGCAGGTCAGCTTGGGGACCATGCCCTCTGGTTTCAGTCCAGAACAGAGATAGACATATAGATAGAAGCCAAAGCTCTATTTGCTAACCTTGTGAGGGTGCTAACCTCCTGAAAAGTGGCTGGTGTCACTGAGGAACTGAATTATTTCATTTTATTTCATTTTAATTCATTTAAATTTAAATAGCCACATGTGGCCAGTGGCTACTAGATCACATGGGCAGCACTGTAAAATTTAGTCACACTCCCTGTGCTAATAACCACTCACTGCACAGCCATAGGCAAATTATTAAGCACCCTTAACCTTCGGTTCTTTTCCTTATGAAATGGGGATAATGAATAGCCCCTCTCACAAGATTTTCTCAGGAGAAACTTAAAAAGGGGACTAGTGCATAAAAAGCATGCCGTGACCGTTAGCTACATTTTTTAACCAAAAAAGGGCTGTCCCGCCATGCCTTCAGCACACTTGCGGCCAGACGGAGCCCAGGAGAAATAGCTTGTTCACGACAAAAACAGCAAAGCACAGCGTAGGGCAGTTGGGCGCAGGGCGGGCTGCCTACCACGTGGGTCAGTGTCTACCACAGCGGGCGGGGTGGCTGACGGAGTCGTAAATTAAAGTTTACATTATGTCCTAATTGTCACGATTGTTTCTCTACCAAAACGAAGAATTCTTTTTGTTTCAATTAGAAGTGTTAGCATAGTAAAGAGTTGACTCAGTTGCCAGGGTGAAAGGTCATTTAAACACATCACAGCAAAGCAAATGTGTAGTTTAGGAATTCAGACTGGCCCGGCTTTGACTTCCCTTCAGTCACTGAGGAGCTAGGTGACTTTAGACAGGCTCAAGGTCGGTTTTACCACTGAGAGCTTCAGTTTGTTCCTCTATACTTGGGAGCTAATAATATCTACCTCTGAGGACTGCTGGGAGGTTTAAGGGAGGTAAGTGTATATAGGGTGCTTCCTAGTGCATGGTACACACGAAGAGCTCAGTAATCATTCACAGTTCTTACCATGCTTTTTAAAATTAATCACCAAAGTAGAACTTGGTCTTTAGACAAAGGAATTTTTTCTGAGGCACCAGGGGAAGTAAAATGTTGCTGACGTTCCTCCCCAGGAATAGAATAGCTGTTTCCCTGCAGTGGATTGAAGCAGAACTCTGAAGCCTCAGCACTGGAGGGAACTTTGAGGACAGAGGTAGCACTGGGTCGAGCTGGTGAGTCCCTACCTGTCTGGGGGTCCAGCAGGCTCGACAGCTCTTCTTCTAGCAGCCGCTTCACGGAGAGGTCCTCCTCGGGGTCTAAGGGTCCGTCCTCCAGGTCTGGTTCTCCCTGCCCACCAGCACTGACCCCTGGGCCATCTGTGTCCGGGACTGCACTCCTGTGAAGGAAACCGACCAGTCACAAGTGGGGAATTCCCATACGGGTTTGTTCTTTCATGCCAGCATTCATTTGTCCATACAGGGAACTGAATACACCACCTGGCCTTTCGAGTCAGACCAGCCTGGATTATGATCCTGGCCTTCCTGAATACTCTTTCCTCGTCTGTCAGGTGGGAATAATAAGTAACATCCACTCGCTTGGTATCATGAAATGAGACTGTGTAGGCAAGGGTTTAGCGTAGTGGCTGGCACGATGTGAGGACCCAGTAAGCAGAAGTGAGTGTGAATTCACAGGCACCGTCACTCACCCCTGTCCCTCCTGTGCCTCTGCATGGCACTGAGCAAGAGTCCGTAAACTTCTTGAGCCAGTGCAAGCCGTCCAGCCATCCTCAGCCAGGCAGGGATTTTGTCTGTCCCATTTCCTTCTCTCTCACCAGTGCGGCACACATAGTTGGTGTTTAGTAAACACCATGGAACAAGTAACTGAACACGTCTTCCTCCGTATTTAAGCCACATCTCACACCAGAAGAGCGGGCCTATGGGGGATTCTGCTGGGTGGGGCATCCTGAAGATGCGCATCTGTACCACCTACGCTGGCTCCACCCCGGCCCCTCTACCTCGTGGATCCTCATCAAAGCAGATGCAAAGGCTCGCTGAAGAGCTTTGAGGCTTAGGAGTCCTTCCTGGTTGTAGCCCCCACCACTACCACCGCCACATGGCCATTTCTGCTGCTAGGAAGAGATTGGTGGGGAGGTGATGACTAGGATTTATTGAGCCATGATTCTTTTTGTTTTGTTTTGTTTTAGTTTTTGCTTTGCTTTTTGAGACAGGGTCTCACTATGTAGTTCAGACTGGCCTTGAACTGACTGTGTAGCCCAGGATGACCTTGAACTCACGGCACTGTTCCCTGCCTCAGCCTCCCGAGTGCTGAGATCACAGGCGTGCGCCATCACGCCCATGGGCCATGATTCTTAGGCTTCATGCCATGCAGGGTACATGTGCTGTCTCACCTTAACCCTTCACATGTGTGAGGAATTCACTTGTCACCATCCCCATTTTACAAATAAGAAAACTAAGACTTGGGGAGATTTTACAGCTTGCCCAAGGTCCCCATGGATTAAGCGAAAAGCAAGATTTCAAATCCAAGCCGACATGACTCTAGAATGTGTGTACTGTTAGGGCTCGAAAAAGGATACCCCAAATTGAAGGCCTCAGAAGCAAAGTGTCTCTCTGACTTTCTCTGCCCTCATCTTGCTCATTTCCTGTGGGGCAAGCCACAGAAACTAGAGTTCCTCTTTCCCAAGGTGTGTCATAGTAACCAGATCCACTCTCCTGAAAGGTAGCCATAAAAGCCAAAAGCACTAGCCTTAATTTCCCCCACCTTTCAGTGTAAGAGTTAGCCAAAAAGAAGTTCTCTGACCTACCTTCTTTGGTTTTAGGTCATAAGAATCCCCTTCCAGAAAGGAAGGAAGGAATGCTGCACAGAAAGGCCAAGAAAAATTCAAACCGACAGACCTTTGTGGGTTTCCCCCTTAGTCTGTTTCCATTACTCATACCCTCTCCATCCAATCATATTTCACACAGCTGCCCCTGCTTCACTGAACGTAAGTGTAAAAATCATTCACCCTGCACCTTTGGGTCTTCAATCCAAAGGCTCCTATGTCACATAAAACTATGATCAAAAAATTGTTTTATGGTTTTTTGCTTCTGTTAATCTTTGGCCAGTTTATTTCAGCAAACTCAAATATTGAAACTTCAGAGAGAAAATCTGGAGTTCCCTAGAGCAGTCACCCCTGCTGTACACTACCTCTCACCATCCTTGCAAAAAAGAAGCTACAAATTATCGGAACAAAAGCACTGAACGAGGAGTCAGGAGCCCTGAAGAGCTGGTCCCAGCTTTGCCATTCACTGGCTATGTGACCTTGAGCAAAGTCACTTGGAGGGGAAAGAACTTACAATTGTTCGTGTGTGCTAGGTGTCAGAAACTGGGATATTCAGAATACATTCGATCCTTAAATGATTACCGCATCACTACAAGAGAGGTGGCACAGCTTCCATTTTATAGATGGAGAAACTAAGTCCTAAGAGATTATCTGGGTGGGTCAAATTTACATAGTTTGGTTGGATCAAGCTGCTTGGAGCCTCCATTTATCCAGCTCTATCAGGAGATTGGATTAGGTGTCTTCTGTACTCTCTTCCTGCTCAAACGGGCACACCCACAGGTCCACATCCATATATATTATGTGTATGGGTCAAGAGAAAGAAAGGTGAAAGTTACAGATTTTAAGCCAATTTATAGCACCCCTGTAATCAGGGGACAGCTAATCAGAGCTCAGGATGAAATAATTTCCTTAGTAGCTCTGGGTCCTGTAAATACTATAAATACAGCAGCCCCAGGACTTGACCTCCCCATGGGGGAGGGATGCTTCCTGCTGTGCTCACCCAGGGACCTGCATGTAGGATATGTGCATCCTTCCTCCCCTCACGGAGGCTGCAGGGGTGCAGGGCGGCCAGTGGGGCCCCAAGACGTGTGGGGGTACGTGCTGCTTACCTGCCAGCGCCAGACTTGGCCAAGTACTTATTTCCCCGGTGGTTCGGTTTGGGCTGGAATTGGCCCCGATGCAGCAAGGACAGCAGCTGGGAGATTTGCTACAAGACAGGAAAAATCTGTTGACTCCACACAATTCCGACCCAGCACACTTCCTCGCCGGATGTTTCCCTCAACACTGGTGCTTTCTTTTTATAGTCTTTCCTCTGGCTTCAGATGTTTGTATGATCAGATGGGGGATGGGTCCTTGTAACGGAGACCAGGACCTGGGGTGCAGCGCCCCTGCCTTGCCATGTCACCCAAGACCTGGTTGTGGGGGACAGCGTGGGGGCCCTCTGAGCCCATCTCCTCATGCTTATCCCCCACTCCCAGTGACTTGCTTCCAGTTGACTCTGTGTATGGGGCAAAAAAGGCATTTCCTGATCATAAAGGCATTATTACTTAGATAAGGGTTGTCCTTAAGAGTTATTTTCCCCTCTTAGCAGTATTTGAACACTGACCAATTTATGTGGAGCAGATGTAAGACTTCACAGAGAAGACAAACGGTGCCATTTAATCATTCACTTGTTCACCCTTTCATCTATGGAACAAGCATTTAATAAGTGCTTGTTTGGGCCAGGCACCGTGCTTGCTGCAGGAATAAGAATGAGAAGGAGATTCTGTTGCTGTCCTCTGGGAGCTCATGGTCCACCAGGAAGGCAGGGAGGGGTGGTTACAACAGGGAGCTGCATCTGAATGTTGGAAAAGCATGGGGTGCTTAGGAGAGGGGGCAGCAAATGCAATTTAAAACAGGGAGGAAGTGTGTGTGGGTGAGTGGTACGGGGGGAAGTTTATTCATTTATTTTATTTATTTTCTTTTGAGACAGAGATCTTACTCCTTGGCTTGGCCTTGAATTCCTTGGCTCAAGCGTCTTTCTGCTTCAGCCTCCCAAGTAGCTGGGACTACAGCCACACCACTGTGACCTGCTTTCGTTTATCTCACCGCATGTTTCTTGTGTTCTATCACATGCCCAGGATCTCTGCTCAGACTCAAGGCCCCTCAGGAGGTCGGTATGGAAGGAAAGTGAGGTCTGGGTGAGGCTGAAGGGCTTGGGCAGGAGCCCTCAAGCCGAAAGGTTGGAGCAGAGGACAGAGCAGGTGAGGTGTCAGTGCCAGACCTTCAGGACCTCGTGAAAACGAGGCAACAGACCAAGTCCTGGGAGACTGAGTTCTAGTTCCAGGTCGTTTCTGGCCTGTTGTAAAACACCAGGCAGGGTTTTAGACCTACTCAGACCTCAGTTTCCTCATGTCGTATCTCTAAAGCGAGGCTAGCCTTCTCCACAGCATTGTCAGCATTCATTAGATGATTTAAAATAGGTAAACCTTTGGGAAGGCAGGGTTGGGATTGTTAGTCTCAGAAACGCTTCTTTCAGCCCCTGGGCCCGACCTCGCTCCTCTCTGGGGAGACCCAGGAGTGCCTACGTCAGAGGAGAGTGGGAGGAGGAAGGTGCTGGGACTGGAGCTGTGTTGTGACTTAGGAGGGTCAGAGCCCCCTTGCCTGCCTCAGGGCAGATCCCACTGGCCACGCCAGGCTCCCAGGAGACACTGAGCAAAGTCCCCGCACACCAAGCTCTGTGCTGAAAGCACCATTCAGGGAGGGTCACTTCATAGGAAGAGCCCAGACTCTGGAATCAGCCAGATTCGGGTTCACGTTCTAAATGGGTCCCTGTCCTAGTTCCCATCTATGTGGCCTTGGGGAATTACTTACACATTCTGAGCCTCAGTTACCGTAAGGGTTAAAAAAAAGTAAACAACAGTGAGCCCCAGGTCATGCAGTGGCTGTGAGGTTTACATGAGCCCAGGTATATAAATCATTTGTTAACACATCCCATGACAGACTCTTGGTAACTGGAGTACAAAATCTTTGCAGCAGCCCAAGGGAGAAGACACGGTGACACTCATTTTTGGGGGATAGAACCTCAGGCCCACAGGCTGCAAGCAATTAGAGCTGGAACTTGAACTCAGAGGTGATTCTGCTGGGTACTGTGCCGCTGCCAAGACATGAGCACTGGGCACCTTGGTCTCCTCCCTTCAAGCTGACTCCACCTGGGCACTTTGCTTCCATCACCCACTGCCTGTCTCTGCTGTCCTGTCCGCCAGCACCCAGCACCATGTTTGGCAAAGCATTTGTTGAAATAAGGGAAGGGAGGATCAGTGAGGAGAAAGAGGGCTCTGGGCAATCTCCAGGCCTCAGGGACCGCTGGGCATGATGCCTAAGAGAACAGTTAGGCGCTCTCCAGGTGGCTTCCCGGGAAGGGGGCATGGGAAGGAAACTGTGTCCTTGCTCCACAGGAAGCCTGAGCTGATGGCCTGGCCAAACAGAAGAATGCCTTGAGCGGGGAGCCCTGCACGGTGAAAACACTCCTGAGTTCAGGGGAGCAGACAAGGGTCTGCACTCAGGCACTATCCTGGAAAGGATTCCTCATTCATGTCTAGTAAACCTAGAGTCACTGGACAGCTTGTCATTCATCATCCTATTTAATCCTCAGTGGCAAGGAGGTAGACCCAGGGTAAGTTTGACACTGTAACCTCTGTTTTATAGATGAGGAAAATGAAGCTGCACTGTTAAAGCACTTGCCGCGGGGTGCCTGGCTCCTAAGTGGCTCTGTTGAAAGACTCAGACCTGCCCGATTCCAAAGTTATAAGGTTCTTCTGTTGCTGATCCTGCAGGACCAGCTAGTAAGCATTTGGGGTCAAATGCAATCCTGGAGCCGGAGGCAGTGGTCCCCAGGCTCGCCTGTTCCATAAGGAGTTGGCGCAGAGGCAGTGAGGGCGCACAGAGGCAGTGAGGGCACGCAGAGGGCAGGATGCAGGAGCAACAGCAGCCTTCTGCTGCACACTGGCCACATCCAGACACACTGTTCTACGGGCAGTAAGGGCGCTGACTCATTTTATCTGTAAGCAAACTTGGGAGGTGGGTGCTGTGAACAGGGACATCTTCAGCGAAGGGGCCAAGTAACAGCGGTGGGTAATGGCTAGGTAGAGGTACAGCCAGGATTGAGACCCAGGCAATCTGCTCCTAATTTTGCATTTCTCATAACTACATTGTTCCAGGTACCATGGACAAGTGCTTACTAGAAATTAACTGATCGAATCCTCAGGACAACTCTGTGAGGCAGAAACTTACTATCATTCCTAATTACTCCTCACTTAACATTAAGGAAGCAGTGTCAGAGACTCTGAGTAATTTGCTCAGGATCACACAGTAGAGATCTGTTGATCCTGGAGTCATTGCTACTCAAAGAAAGCATTCATTGTAAAGTGCTAGGTGAGCCTAAGGAATGAATGTAAGGAAGGTGAGGGAAATAGGGATGTCTGAGGCTGTTGGCAAGAACCCAGGGGCGACCCGAGAGAGAGCTACCCATACCCAAGGTACCTGAACAGGGGGAGAATCCACAGTGATCTCCTCCACAGGGTTCCGCTCTGCAAAGGCAGCCACAGACAGACGGACCAGGCTTCGCAGAATCTGATGGGGGCCTGACTCTTTCTCAGGGGACACTTTGCCATTGAGATTCCGCTGCCGCCTCAGGGTTGCAGAGGAGGCTGGTGGGCTCAGGGGGGCCGTCTCGCTGCTCTGCTCTTCAGCCGGCCTTCCTGTGGGGCTGCCCTTCAGGGCCCTTGCTCGTGCCTGGCCTGGGGTGGGTGGGGACTCCAGAAGATTCAGGTTCTCCCGGGAGGCATTCCTCTGCCTGGGGTGGTTGAAAAGGAGGTTGACGGTGTCCTGCAGCTCTCGGCTCTCTGCCAGTGCTCCCTGGTTGCCTTGGTTACGCAAGGTCCTATACAGAGTTGGTGTGAGGTGAAAAGGAGCTTGCAGGCAGGGATCCCAGCCTGCTTCCATCATTGTTTCCTTGCCTATATCCTTGTGGGACTGCCCGACCTGGCCAGGTTCATCTGCCTGGCCCCTGATCACAGGCACCAAATGGATGTCTGCCTTCTGAATGTGTTTCTGGGGCCTCCTGGGTTGGTGGCGGTAGGTGGACTCAGCTTCCTGACAGTTGTAGGCCCTGTTGTCTTTCTTCTCTGTCCGGCAGATGGACATGAACAGGACCAGGATCGACCCAAAGATGGCCAGCAGTACAGCCAGGCAAATCACCATCAGCACTGACGTGCTCAGGACCCTGGGGTCATGAATAGCGTCCCTCAGATGGTCAATACTGGTGACAAACATGACCTTCAAAAGGGCTTGGGTCTGCAAGGAGGGGCTGCCCCGGTCCTCTACCACGATCTCCAGCTCCCACTCACTGCCAATGAGGCTGCTGCCGTTGGTGATATTGATGAATAGCTGTCCCAGGTCGGGGCTAAGGCCAAAGAGACGGGCCTCATTGCCACTTCGAATGCTGTACAGGAGCTCTCCATTTGCCCCCGAGTCTGCATCTTTTGCCACAATGGTCGCCAACAGAAATGGCTGGGGGCTGTGAGTGGCCAGTGGTAGTGTATCAGCATCTGCTGCGTCCAAGCCATTGGGAGTCTCGATGGGCACAAGAAGGTGGCCAGTGGAGGCATTTACAAGCACCAAGAGGCTGGCTCTTCCATTGCTGAGCACAGGTTGAATCACCTCTGGGGCATTATCATTGGCATCTAAGAGGCTGATCCACACAGAGATGCTGGATGCTAGCTGGGGTTGACCCCTGTCCTCTGCTATCACCCGGAACTCAAAGCTGGCCATCTCTTCATAATCCAGTGACCTCTGGGCAGTGACCACACCTGTGTTTGTGTCAATAGCTACTAAGTGAGAAATTGGGGAGTCCTGGATGCGGTAGGAGATTTCCCCATTGACGCCCAAGTCTGCATCGTGGGCCTTGATGGTGATGAGGTGAAGAGAGGGTGGGTTGTTTTCCCGAGTGGAGACCTCATACCAGCTCTTCTCAAACACGGGTGCATTATCATTGGCATCAGTGACCTGAATGTGGAGCTGTTTCTTGGCTGATAAGGGGAGGGCTCCTTGATCCTGGGCGAACAGAGTGAGGGTGTACTTGGGCCATTGTTCTCTGTCCAGCGTGGCGTTGGTTAGTAGCATGTAGGTGTTGCCGTTAGTCCTTTTCAGCCTGAAGTGGTCCAAATCTTGATTCAGCCAGCAGTGAACCAGACCATTCTTTCCTGAGTCCAAGTCATCTGCTATGACAAGAGCAACGAAACTGTCCTTGGGAAGAGCTTCAGACACCAGTGATGACTGGGAGGCCCATGTGATGTGGATGCTTGGGGCATTGTCATTGACATCCAGAACCTTGACAAACACTTTGCAATAGGCTGGGATGGAATTGGGACCCAGGTCCCGTGCCTGGACATCCACCTCATAGGCAGGATTCTTCTCATAGTCTAGGGGTTGGCACAGAGTGACCTGGCCTGTCTTAGCATCGACACTGAAGGTGTGCAACACCTCTGGAGGCATGTGCTTGCCAAGGAAGAACTCTACCTCCCCGTTGGGACCTTGGTCCAGGTCTGTGGCAGTCAGGTTTATGAGGAGTGTGCCGGGGGCAACATCTTCTGGGATCTGTAGTTCCAGTGAACTCTCAGAAAACACAGGGCTATTGTCATTGGAATCCAGGACATTGACCTTGATCAAGCTGGTGCCTGACCTGGGGGGGTTCCCACTGTCATAGGCAGTCAACACCAGATCAAAAAATGAGCGGACTTCCCTGTCCAGCTCCTTCACCACCATAAGTTCCGCATGTTTCGTCTCATTAGGCCCCACAAAGACATCCAGGGCAAAGTGCTCGCTGGGGGACAGGCTGTAGGAGTACACGGTGTTGGAGCCAGTGTCTGGATCAAAAGCTCTGTCCAGGGGGATCCGCGTGTGTAGAGAGGCGCTCTCAGAGATTTCCAGCTCCTGCTCACCTTTGGGAAACTGTGGCTGGTGGTCGTTGATGTCCAGAACTTGGAGCTCAACGTGGATCAGAGCCAGCTCCTCTTTCACAAGTACATCAAAGGAAACCAGGCAGGGATCCTGCTGCCGGCATAGGCGCTCTCTATCCAGCCGCCTCGCAGTGCTGATCAAGCCATCCTCAGCGCCCACCTGAATGGGGAGTGCCTGAGGCAGCTGCAGGACCTGGAAGACAGCTCTCACGGGTCCGGGCCTCTCGTCCCAGGCCAGTTCCCGGGACAGCTTCCCTACCACTGTGCCAGATGGCACTTCCTCTCTCACTTGGTATTTCACCATGAGAGTGGCCACCTCCTGACAGTCCCCTGAAAGGAACAAGTAGCCACCTGGCCCCAGAAACCCCAGCAGAAATTGCAGAAGTGGCATCATGCTTACCGCCGGATTCAGAAACCGCTAGAGCTCTTCAAAGTCTGGGAAGTCCTCCAGTGTTTCCTGGATGGCTTAATTAGCCCCGTTCTCCTGCCGCTAGGCCGGGTGACACAACCTTGTCCCATAATTAGAAGATGGTGGTAGGAGTAGGATTCCCAGGCAAGGTCATCTTCATTGGAAGGATCTGAGAGGCCCAAGTACCGATAAAGTAAAATCGCCAGTCCACAGTAGCAATGATGGACGAGAGCTGGTCCAAGAGGAACTTGACCCAGAAGCACAGGATGTGGGGATCTAATTTCCAAATAGTTACTAGGCTGGGGCAACAGAGAAGCAGCTTTTTCCTATGGAAACCCCACCTACAGGAAAAGGGAGGGCTGTGAATTTCAATGCCAATTAGAGAAAGAGCATTTCCTGTGAAGCTGAGGCCTGCACCACCGCTGAGGAGGATGAGGGAGGACGAGGCTGGGCTCCCGGGACGGACCGGATGGGAAGGAACTGTCCACAGAGCAAGGCAGCTGCTGAGGGACAAGGGAGCCTCTCCATAGCCAACGAGCAGAGAACTTGAGCTTCCGCCTGTCTCTCTTCCCTCCTCGTCTCTATTTCTGTCTTTTCGCCATTATTCCTCCTCCCACCCTGGTCTTTTTCCTACACTTACTTATTCCTCAGTCTTGACATTGCCCTAAATACCGTTTGTCTCAGTAGGAAGCAGCTGTGATTAACAGAGCAGCCACCAGAGCTAAACTGCCAGGGTTCAAATCCTGACTTTGCCTATTAGTAACTGGGTCATCTGGGACGAGTCTCTTAACCTCTGGGCCTCCATTATCTCATTTTCTGAGTGGGCCTGAGGGTAAGAACAGCAGAGCGCTCAGCAGGAAATTGTGAGGATTAAATGAAATGATGCATGAAGGGCCTTGGCCTGGGCCTGGCCCTGAATCACAAACAGTGACGTTATTGCTTGTGGGGTCGGTGTTGTAATCTGCATACCTACAGCCGCAGCTAGCTCTTGCTCTGACCCTGGGGCAGCCCTTTGCCCACACTGACCCACAAGAGCGCCCATGGCCTGGGCTCCAGAAGCTGTGAGGGCCTCTCTGACCTGACTTGTACAGCTCCCCTCCCCCTCCCTTCCGGCCCCATCCCTGAGCTCTATTGTTCTCTGCATCTGGTCCAGCCTGAGTCCCTGTCTGGGGAAGCCCCGGCTTCTGCTCCTCTGGCTTGGAGACTTTTACACAGTTCCTACTCCCACACCTTCCCCTCTCTGCCTTTCATCTAAGTCTTCCTCCCTTCCTCCAATTCTTTGCTCCCTACTTCTTTTCATGAAAAGCAGCTCTCCCGCAGCTCCCGGGTGCAGCCCCTGGATGTTTTAAGGTGTGCGTTCTTCCCATTACCCTCCTCACACACATACAGAGGTGAGGTCCAGAGAAGACGTGAGTAGCCAGTTTGCTTAGGTGGCCCTTGAGGTGGCCTTGTTGCCTCCCATTCTTCTCCAGCCTTACACACCGCTTCGAGGTGAGTCTAGAGTTTTGTAAAGTGTTGGAGGGGCTGAAAATTAAGGCTAGCTTCCCCAGACAGGTGTTTGGAATTGGTCCTACAGGCCATCTACTACATCAGCCGGGGCTTGTGGGCATGGAGGCCCAGGGCACCAGGACTTGGGTGTCTGAAGAGCAGCCGTCTGTCTCCCCTCCAGCTCCGTCTCCGGTTTACTTTTATCCTGTACTCTACCCCAGGAGCTTTCCCAACCATTTCACTGAAACCCATTAAATCATAGGATCCAAGGGGTCTGAAGCTTGGGTGGCTTTGGGGACCGACAGGCCCTCACAAGCTTTGAGACACGGCACAGATGACTTGACCTCCGTGGGCCTCAGTCTCCTCCAGAGTGTGGCTGTCACCCATCCTATGAGTTTATGGTAAGGATGAGCCTTATGTGTGCAGGGCCCAGTGCAGGTCCTGGCATAGAGAGAGTATATCAGGACTATGATTTGACCTTTCTGCATCTTCTAGCTTATGCACTATATGCAGACAGCAATGATGCTCATGCATTTGCTCTCTTGTTTTCTTTTTTTTTTTTTCTTTGCTTTAGCCAGGAATCCTATCCTATTTCCCAGGTTTCCCTCTTCTCAAGTGTGACAAGGTGCTGCCTCTGCTATGAGGGGAGCCCAGTGGCCCCTTGGAGCACAGGGCCGCAGTGGGAGCTCATTGTCCTCTAGTGACAGACAGCATAAGTGACAGCCTCTTTTATCCTCTGTACCAGGCAGGTAGCTCTCTACCGAACTCTAACCCCAGCCCCAACCCCACAAGGGGCTTCTGGTCTTAGATGAGGATGAAGGAAAGAAAAGGAAAGAAAAAAGCCCAGTGTAGCTTCTCTGGCTTCAGGGTTGGAGGTCTGGGCGGCTCCCCCCGGAGGTGCGCGCTGAGTCCTGGTGGAGAGGAGGAGTTAGCCAGGGGAAGGTGGGTGGGCAGGGAAGAGGCAAACCAGGTGGAGGGGCAAAGACCTGAGGTGGGGATCTGGTTCCTTGTAGTTTTGGGAGGAGGAAGGTGAGACTGAGAACAAAACCAGGACTCATCATATGATGAAGGGCCTGGGGTCCATGCTAGGGATTTAAAACTTGTCCTGAAGGCCCTGCAGGAGCTTTTGAAAGACTCAAAGCAGGCTAGGAGAACACCATCAACCTGCCGGGCTTTGTCCTGAGTGTCTTACCCGTATCTTCTCATGCCACTCATAGAACCACCCCATCAAGTTGAAGAAGCTGAGCCCAGAGCATAGGTAACTTGTACAAGATCATGTAGCGCTGCCCTCCGGAAAGCTGTGCAGCTGCACTCTGGAAGATGGATTGGAGGGAAGCCAAGAAGAGGGAGGGAGGCCAGTTGAGTTCTGCGGAGAAGCTTTGACTTGGAAACCTCTAGTGGTGGCAGTGCTTTCAGAATGCCATCTGGTGGCCAAAGGCAGAGAAAAGGGCACAGAGGTACAGAAGGTACAGCTGGGGGACAGCCACCTAACCAGGACCTGTGCTGTGCAAAGGACACAACAGGAGGAGCTACGCACGCAGACAACAGTATCTCTTACGGAAAGCCTGCTGTGGACCAGTGCCCCAGAAGGAAAGAAAGGACTGCATGATCTTAGCTGTTATTTACACTTGAAAAGGCAATGTTACACATGATATACGCATACATGATAATATGTGTAACAAAATACGTCACCCGTGTCACACACATTTGTGTACCTGCGTATGTGTCACATCGTGACTGGGGCCGTGGATACAAAACATGGACTCAGTTCAGAAGAAAGTGCGAATTTGAACTGCAGTGTAGTTTTTATTGTTGCATGTTTAAGCTAAGAAGTGAAGACCAAATTTTAGGACTTCAAAGCTAGAAAACGGAGGCGCTGGACTTTTGGCAGGCAATCACCTCTGGGAACAAGGTCTCCATTTAGCCATTTTCTCTCTCTTCTGGCTGCAGGGGCCGGTTGACCCTTAGCAGCCTCGTGTCAAGGGGTAAATGGAGCTGTCACTAGAGTTTGTCCGGCAAGGCTTCATTTCTCTGAGTTTGAAAAACAGGTTTGAAGGAGCACAGGCAATATTCTCAAATAGGTTTGAAATGACTGAGGAGAACCTCCCTCAAGTCCTAAGTAGCTTTGAAAGAAGACAGACTTGGTACTGATACTTTTAAGGCCTTGCCCAGCCCAAACTTCAGGTCGCTTAGGCACTAATCCTTAGACATAGGGGAGGACTGAACGGGGAAGTGGGAAGGGTGAGGGGCAAAGGATCTTCTCGAATGATCCCGGCAGCCTTGGGCTGGGGATGTACCTCAGAGGTTGTCTAGCACGCATGAGGCCCTGCGTTCCATCCCTAGCAGTACAAACGCAAAAACAAGAAAATGCTGTAGTCTTGAGGTACCTTGCAGCGGGGATAAGTAGGGTGTGACTCTAGTCCTCTGGGGACTCTTAGGTCAGTGGATGAAGGTTAGGATCACTCCCCCCACCATGAACGTCCTGCAGGAGTGGCTGCTCACTCTCAGGGCTCAGGGATCCAAGGCCGGCTCTCTATGAATCTGCCGAGCCGCTGCCACAGCACCACACCAAGGCAGTCCCAAGAAGCCGCATCCTCAGGATATTTCCAGTCCAGAAGGTGGGAGGACCATCCATGCTCAACCATTTTTCTCAGCAAGCTCTTGTTGAAGTTAGAGCCAGTGTGTCCTGGAATCTTTACCAGGGGATCTGGCTAAATGTCCTGGGTTACTTGCTCCTGGTGTGACACTTTGTGGACTTTGTTGGGACAGAGAACAGATGTCCACTTCCATGAAATGACATCTCTTTCTGGGCCCAACACAGAAATGCCATGAAACAGAACTTTTCAAAACATGAAAATACTTTCTGTCTTGGCTAAGAATGCTAGTTCTCAAAGGAGCCTGGTGTCAGAATCTCCTGGAAAGCTTTGCAAAATACTGGGCTCAGGGGCTTGAAAACTCAGAATTCACCCCCTCCTTGTCTGCCAAAAATCATTCTGTAGTTTGCAATTCAAGCCCTTCCCGCTTCTAAAAGGCTTCGCCTCTCAGATCTTTGGGGCACAGGGTTGATGAGGTTAGTTGGATCTTTTTGTTGGAAAGAGAGGATAAGCAGATATACACCATAGAATTAGACAGGAGGAGGGAATGTTGAAAGTTGAAAAAATTATGAACATGGATCCACAAGCAAACAACAGATATTGAAAGGAACAGTTAGAGCTGGGGATATAGCTCAGTGGCATAAGTGCCTGCCTGGCAAGCGCAAGGTTGTGAGTTTGATCCCCAGTAGTGCAAAAAAACAAACAAATGAAAGGAACAGTTAATGCCTAATGGTTTGCTCACTCTTGCACACCTATATCTGGTGATCTGAACAACTTTGAAAATAACAATATGCAATATAACAACCATTGTTAATTTCTGATCATCTTGTTTTGAAATTCTGTATTGTTTTTATTGTTTTTTTTATTTTTTATTCTCTTTAGAATAAAAAAATGAAAAACAAAAGAAAACAACAGAGGCTTTGAAGGACATTGACTGGAGATAAGGACTTCTGATGAGTTGTCGCAAACTATATTCTTCATGATTTTCAACAAAATACAAGAAAAGACTGATATTTGTACAATTTTATTTTGTGCTCTGATAACCACAAAATTAGACCATGTGAGTTCTGGGTTGATAAAGGTCACCTACACATCTCTCCCCCCAGCCCTCACAGGGAAAGCTTGCTATTTCTGTTACACAGATTTAAATTTTTATATACTATTGCAATTCTGCTATGCACCTTATCTCTACCCCAACCTCACTGCAAACCCTGATTAAAACTTCTCAGGAGCACTAGGAACCTTACGGAGTCAAAGTCTAGAGCCAGTTCCCTAGCTTGCTAAGGAAGCCGTGGTGCTTTCCCGCTCAGTGTCCTCCCGGTCCCGACATGTCCCTGTCACCTGTAGCACTACTCATCGGACCTCAGTCCTCACAGGCTTTCCCTGTGTTTCTGCACACTCCTCTGTCTGCATCCTAGATCTCGCCTCTGGTTTTCCTACCTTCTGACCCTCAGGAATGTGCCCCAAACTATCTTCAGCTCTCTACTTAGAGTTATTAACCTAGATATCAAGTGCCAGATTTAGCAAATAAAAAGACAGGGTACCCAGTTAAATTTGAATTCCAGAAAAACAATGAATCCTTTTTTGGTATAAGTATCTTTATCTGACAACTCTGTCTAGCAATAATGTCTGCTCTCAACAGAATTATCTTTGCTTTTCCTTTCTCCCTCGACCCCTAGAAGTTTAGTTTACACAGTGAATTTGAAAATGTACCAGTAAACACAAAAGTCAAACATATTGACTAGGAGCATCATCTGTGCATGAATATTCAGAAGCTGACTCTGTTGATTGGCCTTGCTATGTACTCAGCATTTCTGGGTCACTCCAGGATCGAACTGTTCTCACACTGAAAGAACCACCCTAGAGGAAGCCCGGATCACAATCAGTCATTAAATCATTCGGTCATCCAGTCACTCACTTATTTGGTGGAATTCAGCATGTTCTTCTCCGCATACAAGGTCAATTTTTTTTGGCAAGGGGAGGTAACAAGTTGACCCACTTTCCCTTCCGCTAAACCATTGGTTTGGGGTTTTTTTCCTTCGTATAGAATCTAATCAGCCTAATTCTCTCCTTGCTTCAGAAAGGCTCCTGCAGGAAGGAGAATGAGTCTTCCCATCGTTACATAAATTCTCTTGGGACTTTCCTTTACAAGTTTATGACAGCCAGGAGTTGAGCCTGGAGCTCTGAGAGAAACAGCCACACATTGATTTATGATGGCAGCAGCTGCTAAATCTCACCTCTCTTTCCTTCTTACAGAGCCATGTTACCTTGAGGTTACAAAACTCTTTTCACTGTTATTCAGGGGAATAATAATAAAGTGCCAGGTTGCAAGTATAAACATGATCATTCTGTGCCTATTATTGTAAATCAAATTTTACCTTGCATCAGAAGCACAGAAAATATCTTATGCTGTCAAGCACCTCAAGCCTGGGTAGGAGACCGTCTTTGGGTAACCCTGGGATGACCTACGGTATTGTTTGGGCTGCACTGACCAGGGAAACTGAGCATGCAGGTCATCTGGCTATTCCTCCTTACAGACACAACTGACTGCTTTCCTTGAGGAAGAGTCAGCTTGGCCCAAGCGTGGCATTGGGGTCAATGACATGGGCTCAGAATCCAGTTGCCTGGGCTTAAAGCTTGGCTGTATAATTTACCATTTGCGTGACCATGGCAAGCCAGTTAATTAACTTTCTGTCTTCAGTGCCGTTAGCTTTATAAGAAGGAAGATAGGGCCAGGGATAGAGCTCAGTGGCATAAGCGCCTGTCTGGCAATTATAAGGTCCTGAGATCGATTCTTGGTACCAAAAAAAAAAAAAAAATTTAAAAAAAAAAGAAGATGATGATGAGGCTGATGACAACAGCAGCTACGCTGTGAGGTTTTGCTCAGTCAGTACATAGCATTTAGAGCACGGTCTACAGCATGGGTGGCGGTCTAAGTGTTAGTTATTAAGATTGTGCTTCCAGTGTAGCAGCTCCCAGATTTTTTTTTAAGGACAAAGCCTCCATTTGAAAAAACAACAACAGCCAATCCAAGTTTTCAGATTCCCATGTGATAATAGACTTTTAAGATTGATATGATGAGCACATTTACAAGGTATGGTAGAAAACTGTGGTTTGTGTTTGAGTTAAAAATTTTATTACAGTAAAAAACACATTGCCATTTACCCTCAAACCAACCCCCTCTTTAAACACACTTATCCCATTGTTCTTGTCACTTTCTGGAGCAGTTCTGGAAGTCCTTTTCATCAGTGTCTGTAGTCTTGCTGTTCTGGCTGCCTGCATGTCCTAGGTCAGTTCAAAACATTTACCTATCATGGTCATTTTGACTTTGAGGAAGAGTCAGAAGTTGCATGGGGCCAGCTTGGGCTACACAGTGAGTTCAAGACTATCCCAAACTGCATGGCAAGATCCTGTCTCTCCCACACCCCCGAAAAAGAAAAGCTGGGCGTGGTGATGCACGACTGTGATCCCAGCACTCAGGAGGCTGAAGTAGGAGGATCACCATGAGTCCAAAGCCAGCCTGGGCTACAAAGTGAGTTCAAGGCCAGCCTGAAATGCATAGTGAAGTCTTGTCTCAAAAAGATTTAAAATAAAAAGGAGAGAGAAAATTCAAAGACCTTCTTTATCTAATCCCTTCCTCAAAAACAGGCCCTAAAACTCTAACTCACTTTTAACATTCACCAAATTATCAACACTGCTTTGAAACTCTCTCCTCTCTATCCTGTGACCTCTGACATGAGGTCATGACGATGTCACAATTCACCTCTGCTCCAACTTTATGAGAATTTCCCAAGCTGGTTCCTGGGCTTCCGCACTTTTTGAGACAGAGATTTCTGGCACACATCTGGTCTTAGCTCTTGAGCACCCTAAGGTACGGCTGCCATGTGTTTTGCTCTTGGTTTTATTCCTTTGGCTAAACATGAATAATGACATTGATGAATGACTTTGCAGATCCTTCTTCCTTCCTTTTGTTGTATTGTTAAGAGGTATGTTTCTGACTTTGGGATCTATTCTGGGATAGTTTTCTGTTCTGTGACAATTAAGATTTATAGTAATACAGCTGGGCACAGTGGTGCATGTCTGAAATCCCAGTGACTTGGGAGGCCGAGAGAGGAGAATGGCAAGTTTGAGCCCAGCCTGGGCAACTGTGTGAGACCCTGTTACAAAATGTAAAATAAAAAAAGGCTGGGGATGTAATTTAGTGGTAGGGCACTTGCTTAGCATGTGTGAAGCCCTAGATTCAATCCCTAGTCTCTCTCTCTCTCTCTCTCTCTCTCTCTCTCTCTCTCTCTCTCTCTCTCTCTCTCTCTCTCTCTCTCTCAC